GGGTGACTCTATCACATCCTGGGGATTATGGGACTAAATTGAGGCCCTTGGCCTCAGGGCTAGCATCCTCAGTGGGTGTTTGGGAATATGGGAAGGGTCTCTTTATTCAGTAGAGTTTTCTTAGTTATTTTTCTCCTTTCTTTCCCTTTTTAATCTCCAGCAAAAGCTGGAATCCAGGAAGAAAGAAACCAATGTAGAAGTTGGGAAGAACTTAAGAGTATTTTGGTTCTGGATAAAGTCACTGCCCTGGGTGCTAAGTGGTCTGAGAGGAGACTCAGTGGGTAAACTGTGGCAGTGCCTGACGGAATATAGAGCAGTATTAATCCCTTTGAGAAAGTGTAGTCCGGTAGGACAGTGGCCATCTGGACGGAAGCTCACTTAGTTTCATGGGAGCAACAGCACATATCAGAAGCCAGACTTGCTCTTCGGTCATGCACTTTTGGACACAGGGTATGAGATGCAGCCCTGTTATAACACCAACAGAAGTAGCAGTCTCTGGGCCCAGTCACCCACACCCCAAAGCAGGAAGAATCTGGTTCAACATAGCACAAACCCTTAGGAAAAATGAAATTACCATCACCAATGTGGAATCCAGTAAAAATCTCCCTCTTTTGGGTGTGTATGCGGGCATGTGTGTGCCCATTTGTATGTGTGTGTCTGTGTGCAACTCACTACCAACAGCCTCAATGTGCACTTGACCTTACAGTGCTCGCTGAGAACTCTCACCAGGTTGGCGCCTGAATGCCTTACTCTCAGCAGTCAGAGGCTTGCTTGCTCTGTGCAGATTTTTAATTTTCTTTTTTTGGCCCTAGGCTTGTTAGGACCTCTACAGCTTCATTTTTCCATCATTAAATAGTGGCCTTTTTCAGTATTCCCCCCCCTTCCCCTTTATAAATTGCTGAAGCCACAAAGCACATTTTTGGGGATCATAGAAGGTTGGGGTTCCAGAAGGGCATCTGTGTAATGGTTCATTCACCGTGGGAGTTCCCTACTTGCCGTATTCTCAATTTCTTCTAATAAAAAGAACCAAATGAAATATGAACTTTTGTTGTGTATTTTTTACTGTCTTTTCCAGCTTACCTCCCCTTAGTTTTGGCACTTCTTTGAAGCCCCAATGTAGACACTGAAATCTAAGAGATGTTCAGAATCTTCCCATTCTGAATGCACAAATCAAAGTGCTTATTCCCAACTCTCTGTGTGCTTTCATTATAACTTCGATCAGGTAGGATGGAGGGGAGAGCTAACTCTAAGGGACAGGTTTTTTTCTTTCTTTTTTTTGAGACAGAGTCTTGCTCTGTTGCTGGGGTGAGGCATCAGCCTAACTCACAGCAACCTCAGACTCCTCAAGCAGTTCTCCTGTGTCAGCCTCCTGAATAGCTGGGACTACAGGTGCACACCACTACACTGGCTAATTTTTCTATTTATAGTAAAGATGGGGTCACTCTTGCTCAGGCTAGTCTAGAACTCCTCACCTCAAGCAATCCTGCTTCAGCCTCCCAGAGTACTAGGATTCGGCCTCAAGGGGCAGTTCATAATTCATTTATTAAAGTTTATGAAAATGATATGTAATATAATGAATACTTTAGGCCAAGGGATGTGTTAAAGGACTATAGATCTCTCATGTAATCATAAGAACTCTATGAGCTGGTGTGTTATTTTCATCCTCATTTTATAGAGAAGAAATTGAAGCTTAGGAAGTTTGCCTGACTTCTAGTGCCAGCACTCTATATGGGAGAAGGGAATGAAAAGAAAATTTAAGGAGAAAATTGCTTTCTCTCTGTACTTATTTTTCTGATTAAACAGTTTCATATATGTTGATGTAAAGGTTTTAGGGTTTGTTAACCTGATACCCTTCTATGTAATTTAAGAAGAGGAAATCCCAACTCTTTTGCCTTAGGTAAATTGAGTTTTTGCAGGAGAATTTCCAGTATTGGGAAAATATGTCCATTCTGAATTCTCATTTTAAAGCATAGATACAACTTTAGGTAGTCTCACATACTACGCAGATACAGAACACTGGATCACAACATGCTTCTCATAAAAAATAAGCTGAGGCCTATGAATAAGCCACTTTTCCCCTCTTGCTAAAAGTTGTCTGTATGCTTCCTGTCACTCAGGTGATGTCTCCTGCATACTGTAGAGGAAATAAGGGCAGTTGGAGGTTTTTATTAAAGACAGGGTCTCTTGTTGCCTAGGCTGGAGTTCAGTGGTGTGATCACAGCTCACTGCAGCCTCAAACTCCTAGCAGTTTGAGTCTCAACTTTGTAGAATGCGAGTGCTCTGGGTGCCCTAGAGAAGCTTCTGGGCACTGTTGCTCTAAAACTATCCTGGAAAACAAACAAACAAAAAAACCCATCCTTTTGAATATTCTGCTTCCGTTGTAACACATTTCATTTGTCCTTCAGTGGGCATGGATCATTTGCTCACCACACACATCCTGTCTAATGTACAAATCTTTTCTGCCTTCAGCTTTTTGACTAGTCACTGAAAACAAGGCCAGTCTGGCTCACGAGTGTCGGGAGTGCTGTGATGTCATGGTTCAGGGCTGGGGGGAACCAAGGAAGCTGCACGTTCCCCCAGCCTCTTGTTACTGCTCTGCTACCATTGCTACCTTGCTAGGCTAGCCCAGAAACAAAAGGAGGGAGCTCCAAATCCCAGTACTGCCATTTGCCATATCACAGAGCAATGATTTGCTTGCTTCTCTGGCCTCTGTGTTCTGGTAAAACGGGGCCAATAATACATCCTTTGCATCCCTCACTGAGATGTGGCTCTCACAGATAATTTATCTTAAACTTCTACAGTGTTTGGCTAATGATTCTGCCAACCCTTGCTCTAATTTCTTCCTTTTGTGTCTTTGAGTCACTCCAAACCCCATATTTGCTTTTCTGGCCTTAACATATGTCCACTCCCTTGTCCTTCTGAACCAAAACTTTACTTAGCATCGTGAAATGGTTGTTGAAGCATTTTACCTGAAAGCGCAATGTACAATACAAAATTATTAGGTGGATTTAGTATTAAGTATTATCCCTGGTACTGAGGAGAGGGTCTAACAGCATCCATAAGCTCTTGATCCTCTAAAGTGTACATTTATAGAAAAAGAGATTTCAAATTCTGTACCCCACTTTATTAGATGACAGGTTCCAACTTTGTTCCTCTGAAGTCAAGGTGATGGCTCTTTAGCATGAGTCAGGCTGCCACCTGCTGTCCCTTAATAAAAGTGTTTCTTAAAAGTAGAAAGAGGACTGGCTCTGACCTTCAAAGGCAAAACTTAAAATACTCTGTTCTCCAAGGTAGAGGAGAGCAGGGTTGGTTTATCAGAAATGGTTTTTGCCTCCACTGGTCCCTAAAGGGATTTCCAGGTCTTTATTCCACCCTTGGCTGTGCAGACATGGGGCCCCTAAGGAAGCAGACAAAACAAGGTTAGGAGCTGCCCAGCACTTCCCAAGTTTGGCTTTTTACCAGTTGATAAATTTGCCTGAAAATGCTCTTCCCGCTTGGGTAGGGAGGACAAGCTTCCAAAAGACAACGCTGGACCATTGTCCTAGAGAGAGACAAGTGGTCGGTGTCTGTGAGTCAGCAGTTGAGATCAAATGCTGCTGGCGGTCAGAACGTTCGTTAATGCCAAAGATGCAGGTGGGCCGTGGGCGGGATGGGTAGGGAAGTACTCGTCCTGCTGGGCTGTCACAAGTGGGTCTCCACAACACATCATGGGGCACTCGGAGTGATGGCAGCCAAGGGGGCTGGGAAAGTGCTCCCTGCTGCTTTCTTAACCCACCTGGGCCTGCCAGACACCTACGGCCTTTGCTTATTATTCCCGAGACCCACCTTCACGCAACAAGGTAATGTAATTATGGCAGGTGCTTATTTTGTGCCCAGCAGTTTCAGACAGATTTGGTCTTTACAATTCTCTCCCAACAATTCAGAGCAATTTTCAACTCTATGCTTCAGTTTCATCGTCTATAAGATGAGGCTAATCACAGGACGCACTTGTGGGGTTACCATGAGGATTTAATGAGATTCTGCTACTGAAGCTGGGTTCTCTGAGCCTCAGTTTCTTCTGCTGTAAAGGGAGCATTAGCACCTATGGCATAGGATGGTTGTGAGATGTAATGACAGTGAAGGTGACATTGTCTAGTCTATAAGGCACTTTATAAGTGCGATGAGTTTGTTTATAGAGTTGGCCTTAGAGGGAAGTTGGGGCTGTTTGCTGAGAAACTTGAACAGCCTGCACTTTGAAGTGTGGAAGCTGCGAGTGGAGAAGAGAATGAGGGGTCCCAGGGGCCTGCACGCTGTCCGTGCCAATCATCGGAGTTGGTTAAACTGAAAGATTGGAGGCCACCCCAGAATTTCTGCATGCCCTTAATGCTGCTGTCACAGTGGAGAGTGCTATCTCATGGGGTTCAGGTCTTGGGGTTCCTGGGGGAGATGTGTGTGTGTGTGTGCGCACGCACGGGGGTGGAGGTGAGTTCCTGGCTCCAGCTCCCTTCCCAGTGAACTCTGCAAGTCAGAATGTTCCCCAAAGTTCCAACCCCAGGGATTTCACCCCAGAGACAAAGCCAAGTAGTTTCTTTTGTAGGTCAGTGGCCAGAAAAAGACCATAGCGGAACGTGGACCTCATGGGAGTCTGGAGCTGGTGCTCAGGAGATGCCGTCACCTGTCATGTGACGGGCTGCTCTGTGCACTGCGACCTCTGCTTGGCCACAGCTATTCCTGCCACCTCCCCTGGGTGCACAGCACTTTGTAGCCCAGCTGCTATGTGTGTCGGCCCCCTGGCTTTTTAGATGATGCAAACTTTCCTTTAGGTGAGGGCACTGAAAGTTCTTTATTAGCAACACTTTAGGGACATCACAAGCAGTCATGTCAATGTTTCCTGAAAGGATTTAATACCTGTTCCCATTCTGGGTCTTTCCCATCACTATTGACTCCCTTACCTTCCCCTCCCTCCCTCCCCCCCCTACAATTTACTCCCTTAACTTCCCTCCTTCTCTCTTTCTCTCACACACACTCACACTATTTATTCCCTTACCCCCTCCCCCTCCACACACTCAAGTCTTTTCCGGGCAGCAGCTAGGAAAGAGAGCCACCTTCGCTAGGGTAGGTCTCACTCTGGAAGGCTCCATCGACATGTCTTAGGCAGGGCTGTTCTTGCCTTAGCCCCATCCTGCTCCTCCTCCTCGGCATCCAGAGCCCTTGGGTTCTCCTGAAGATCACTCTGGTTCATCAGGCAAGAAAGGGAATGACCCTTTCTTGCCTGGGGCTACATGTCTAGAACACAGGTAGAACTAAGTTCTTTTTCATTCTTTTGTCTTGGTCCAAGCGGAGCTCATGCTGGCCTCTGAAGAAGAGACAGGAAGGATAGAGGATGCCCATAGAGATGGGAGTGGATGGCACCAGGCACCCCGGAGCATCTTTGGGAGTGTCTCTGGGATGCTGGTTTCTTGTTCCATCCAGCAATCTGCAGAGACAGGGACCATTAGCCCAGGATTCAGAGGTGCACTGGCCTGTGTGAGAACCCAAATGTAGTGAGCTGGACCCCATGACAGTGCTGACTTTTTAGAATGTCTCTTGAAAGATCACCTTGCCAAAACGGAGGTCAGACTGGTGAGTGTCACCGCAGAAGCTGGGGCGGCAGCCCCCAGGTGCACAGAGGCAGCAGGAGCAGGGGCAGCGAGGCTGAGGTGCCGGACGCGCCGCCGCAGTCCTGGGCATTCTCCTGCAGACCCAGAACAGAGGTGAGAGGGCCACACTCAGCGGAGGCCGGGCCAGGGAGGGGGCTCCGCAGCGAACAAGGCCAAAACCCTAGGGAGAGGAGTTTCAGAAAGTGGGGGGAGCACTGCCACCTTTCTTAGACCCCCCACCTTTCAGGGCGGGCAGAGGCTGTCCAGTCAGCCTAAGAGCTGGCTGCAGCCCATTCCACCTGGGCAGCCAGGGTGGCTGCGGGGACATTCTCTCAGCACGGCCTTAGGGAAGTCTTCAGCTCTGGGAGCATCTGATGTGGACTATTTGGGGCAGCCTTGTGGCTTGGAGCCTGGCACAGGGTCTCGGGCTCAGCAAATACCAGTCAGGACCCACACAACGACTTCCTCCCATGTTCTCAGACCATTCAGACAGAGCTCTGCAGCAGCAGTGAGCACAAGGTGAGAAAGCTAGATTTTAGTTCACCTGCGCTCAAACATGGATCCTGGCTGACAGTGGTATTTCAGTGGCATGGATCTCTGATGTGTTTTTAAAATGCTACTTCTGACCACAAATGGGGGGTAGTTTCCCCACCCCAACCAATTCTCCAGCTCTGTGGACGTCAACTCAGAGTGTCCTACAGTTCAATTCTGAAACAATCTACCTGGAGTTGGCACCAGATCCCACAAGCTAAAGAGCTCAGTCCCACAAGACTGCCTCCACTGTGGACACCAGTCACAAGTCGGGGGCCACCAGCACTTCTGACAGACTAGCTACAAATCAAGGGCTCCCCTGACCCCCACCTCAGGTTCAAGAATTTGTGAGAATGGCTCACAGAACTCAGGAAGGCACTCGCCATTACCAGCTCATTATAAAGGATACAACCCAGGAATGGCCAAATGGAAGAGAGCACGGGGCAAAGCATGGAGTGTGCGGACCTTCCGTGCCCTCTCTGGGCGCACCACCCTCCCAGCGCGGGGATGTGTTCACCAGCCCAAAAGCTCTCCCGACCCCACTGCTCAGGGTTTACGGAGGTCACATTATGCAGGCGTGGTCGATTAAATCATTGCTCACTGGTGATAAATTCAGTCTCCAGCTCCTTCCCTTCCCCAGCAGGCAGGGAGTAGGCTGAAGGTTCCAACCCTCTACTCATGCCTTGGCCTTTCCAGTGTCCAGCCCCGACCTTGAAGGGCCCCCAGCCATCTAATTAGCACGCAAAAAGACACTCCTGTCATTCCAAGGGTCTTAGAAGCACTTGTGTCAGGAACCAGGGACTAAGACCAAATATTAGAATGAAAGATGCTCCGATCACCCCTATCACTCAGAAAATTACAAGGTTTTAGGAGCTCTGTGCCAGGAACCGAAGACAAAGGCCAAATACATATCTCTCACTGTATCACAGTATCACCGGATGTAAACAGAAGGCAAGTGCGCGCGGGTTGCGCGGACACGCACGTGCATCGGTGTCCCGCCAAGTGCACAGATTCTGGGAGGAAGCCCAGCCCCGCCCTCCCCGCGCCCCAGCGCGCACCTCTGCGTGGAAGGCGTGGCAGGAGTCCGGCCGCCGGCGCAGCTTCTGGGAGCGCATCCGGTCGCACTTGACCGAGGCGTTATGTGCAGAGCTCACGGTTAAGGTCAACAGCCCGGAGAGTGGGGTCTGGCAGCGCCTGGCCGGGTGGGGCCAGCTGCCTTGCAAGCGGCTCTGGGGTCAGGGCGCGGCGCCCAGGGCGGGGGGCGGGGAACACGTGGCGACGCTCCGGCTGTGGGCCCCTAGGCGACCGACACCCCGCCCTCGCGCAGCGCGCTCCCCAGCACAGGAAGGATATACTTGACTTCGGTGGGCTCCTGCAGGACTGGCGGGAAGATGCTGCAGTCGCAGGTGGGGTCGGTCACCAGGAGGAGGAGGTTACTGCTGGGAATCTGCTGCAGCGCGAACGTCCTGCGGGAGGAGGGCTCAGGTCGCGCGCCGTCCGCGGCAGGCGCGGCAGGGCCCGGGAAAGGCTTCCGCGGAGAGCACTCGCGGAGACGTGCGGCGCGGTCGGCGGCGGGGAGCAGCGGGGCCTGGGGCAGAGCGGGCGCCCGGGAACGTCCTGGGCGGACGGCTCCGCCGGGCTGGCTGCCTCGACCGCGGGCCTGTGCAGCCGCGTCCTCCGCTCCTGGCGGGTTGGAGGAGGCGAGGGAGTCCAAACGGGCATGTTTGAGAGCGCCGCTAGGCACAGACGCCGGGCTGTCCCGCCAGGCGGCGCAGCCTCCTGCTCACCGCGCAGCCGCGGGCCGGCGGGCCCTGCGCTCCCGCACGCGCCCGGGCACTTGGGAGCGGACGCCGGCCGCCCTCCTCCCGCAGCCCTTGCCCCCGGGCTGCCCGCGCCGCGGAGGGGCCGCCCTGCCCCGCTGTGCCCTGGAAGTCGGGGAAGGCCCCTGGGAATGTGACCTTTCACCGGGACGCACCCCGGCGCCTGCTGTGGGCCCGGCCCCACCTGGCTGCCCCCTTGCCGGTTGGGAGCGGCCTAGCGACTTACTTTTGGCAGGCCCCGCACTCGATCCTCCCGTTGGTCTCCTGGATGGCCCGCTGGTGTACGAACACGGGGTACTCGGTGTCGCAGGGCTGCAGCATGTCCTGTTTCTTGTGCTTGTGTGCTGTGCGCAGACAGGCGAGGGTGTGAGGAAGGCCTCGCACAGCTCAAGGGCCTGCACCCCACGCCCGGTGGCCGTCTGGGCCCCAGCACTCCCAGGGCCGGCGTTCATCCCCGTCCCTTTGCAGATGGCCCCTCGTTGGACGTTCGCAGGACATGGAGAGGAGGCCGCGGGAGTGGGGAGAAGGGAGGGGAAGGAACAGATAGCAGTGGAAGAGAGTGGCATCACAGTAGGGAAGGGCAGGGGCCCTGGGTCTCAAGGGGCTTATGACCATGGGGCAGCCTCTTCCTCTCTGGGGAAGCCACCTCCTCACTGAGCTGCTGGGGGACTGCACTACCGGCCCGACTCCTTCTGCATTGATGTCCCAAGGGTCTGGGCGGAGCAGTAGGGGTGCTGAGGGGTGGCTTGGGGGACCTTAGCTCTGTTAATCCCACAGCACTCCACTGCGGATGGACAATGCAGCTCCAAGTCCTAGCCCTACCCCTAACCCTATGGCCAGGCCCAAGGTCCACCATCCAGGGAGCACCTGAGTGCGGGGGCTGGGAGGGTTGGGCAGGTGAGCTCCAGGGCACAGGACTGCTGGAGGTCGTGTGCTCAAGCCCACTAAGGCACCGGCACGACAAGGGTCAGTCCCAGGAAGTCCTGCTCTGGGGACCCACCTCTGCTAAGTGGGTGTGGCATGTGGCTGGCAGTCTTGCACAGACACCATGTGACTGTGAGCCGCCCCCTAGAAGGAGCCTGGAAACAGGGTGGGGAGCTGGCCAGGCAGAAGATAGCAGTGGACGTTACTATTATTTTTATCAAGAAGCCAAACTCTTGAGCCAAAGATGGCAGTCCCAGCATGGGAGACTTCTGGAACCCCACGGAAAAGGCTCTATTCACAGGAGGAGTTGAGCAGAACTGGCTAATGCCAGGCAGCCCTGGTGGTTACAGGCTCCGAGCTACCTGGGCGTGAGAGCGGGTCCAACACTTGGTTGCCTCGCCCGTGTAGCTAAGACTTGATGGTCCTCTTGGCTTTGTGTCAGGACTATCTCACCATTCCCTGGCTTGGGGGACTCTGTCCTCAGACACCAGGTCCCTGGAAGGGGTCATCAGAACATGCTGGTGACCCCCCTCTAACCTGAGCTCTGGTCAGGGCCGTGGACACCTGAGCTGGGGGTGCTACTGTTCCTTCTCCAAGGGGTGACCTGGCCCTGCTACCTCACATTTGGCCCTGGCCCCTGGAGCGTACCACTTTTTGCCCTTTGGAACCAAGAAGAGGAAGCCAGAGTGCTGTTTGCCTGGAGCAGGGCTGTCCCTGTGCAAGATTTGGGCAGGACTTCCCCATCCTCACCACCAGCGATGGTGCTTCAGACCAGGAGAGGAGCCCAGTGTCCCCTGAGTCAGGGTGTCACAGGATGAAGAGAGCTCTGCCCTTCCTGGGATCATCCTGGGCTGGAGAATTGTGGGCAAGCCCTCTGTGGCCCCGGTTGTGTCCCCACCCCACCGTTTACAGGGACCTCCCCGGCAGGTGCTACTCACAGTGATGGAAGACAGCCTTGGCTGCCAGGCATGAGTGGACACAGCACAGGAGGGTGTGGCGTCACACAGGGGCAGGATGTCATGGGGTGGTGATGATGCCACACAGCAGTGGTGTCCGAGGTGATGCGATGTCACACACAGAGGTAGGGGGACCGGGGGAGCGGATGTGATGAGAGAAGCCACAAGGAATGAAGGATGAGGTATGAGTCATGAGTGGCCTCAGGGCACCCACCCACCACTGCCACCCACCCTGGGGTGAAGGGCTTCTCTTGCACAGACCCAAGTGCTGCCGCCCTTACACGCGCAACCCCACAGCTCCGTGTACTCACCCTCTGCCCCTCTGCCGTGCCGGGGACCCCAGGCACTCCACTCCAGCAGCAGCCTGTCAGACACGGAGCTGACTTCAGGGGCCCACAAGCCCTGGAGACCCCTGACAGACCCTGCCCACCCCTCTCCTCCAGGACACCCTGCTCCCTGCTCAAGCGCACTGGGGTGAGCAGAGGGGTCCTCCATAGGCACAGTAGGGAGGGAAGAGGTGCCATACATGCCCAGGACCTTGCCCTCCTCCCTGGGGTGTTGTGGAGACCACAGCAGACTCTTGTCGAGGACGCCCTCACAGCCCGCCCCGCCCGCCGCCGCACTCACAGCAGGAGCTCCTGCAGCAGCCACCTGGTCGCGGTCAGGAAGGCAGAGATGGGCTGGAAAGGAGAGCACACCCTTCGCACCCTGGTCCATGTGCCTGGGCACTCCCCCAGCACCACCCCCAGAGAGGAGACAGGGCCGCCCCTGCTCTGGAGTGGCCAGAGAACACACCACCTCCCACCTTCCCCTGCAGAGAGGGTGTTGCAAAGCTGAGCTGTCTGGAAAGTGCCTATTGCAGGTCAGACATCTCCGGCAGGAGCGAGACAGTGCTTCCAGAAGACTGGTCAAGTCTCGTCCTGAGGGCCAAGCCGCTGGGGTCCCTGTGAGTATGTATGTGGCAGCACTAGGCAGTGGGGTTGGGAACAGCCCATTTCTTCACAGCTGCCAGAGTAGTTGCCCTGAGGGCCAAAGGCAACCTCACAGGCCTGGAGGGGGCGAGGGGCAGAGGAGGGAGAGTGGGGGTGCTGGGGCTGGACAGCTGAGGCAGGGCAAGAGCAGGGCCTGGGGGACTTTGTCCTAGGGCAGGGTGGAGGACTTGCTGTCAGGTGGGGGAGGTTTGGGTGACACTCACGCTGATGAGGGGCTGAGCCGCACTGTGGTGGTGACCTGGGGGTTTACACATGGCCTGGTAGTCATACATGGTCACTCTGAAAATCAGAAACAGTGCGTGGTGAGTCCAGTGCCACCCCTATGACCTGTCCCTGCCTCAGGGGACTTTTCCAGCAGGGCATCCATTGACCAAGATTCCTGAGGGCCCCTGAGCTGGGACAGCAGGTCAGAGATAGCTCATGCTGAAAATGACATTTCTGTACTTTGAATGGTTGAAAGGAGAGCGAAAGGCTTGCTCTTTTTCAGGGGTGTTTTTCCTCTAAGGGCTGAGCTGGGGAGGCCCTCCCAGGGGGGGCCTGCATGGCCCTATGCCCCTCCCCACCTCACGTCCCTGGCTCCAGAAAGGTGGCTTCTGGAGCTCTTTGGGGCTCTCACTCTGGATTTTTGAGATTAGGATCCTGAGATCTGTTTGTCCACTTAGCATCAGCTCTGGCCTCTGCTGTGGGTGTGGGGTTGGGAGCGGCATGTCCCACTTACTGGGTGAACACCCCCATGCCAACCAGCTGGGTCATGACAGCACCATCCACCTCCCCCAGAAATCTTCCTGTCTGCGAGGAGGGAGAGAGGAGAGAGAGATCAAGCAGCATGAAGACTTCTAAATCTAGCACTATTTAGCCCAGGGCTCTTTCTGAGCTCGAGATTTCTGAGCTCAAGATTGGGAAAGCCCAATAGATGCCCTTAAACATAATAAAAACTGAACCCATTGCACCCAGGCACACATGTTAACCTGTTGCCAACCACGTGCTATCTCGGTGCTTTCTAAACTCTTGGTGGTAATCTATTAATTGGATATGAAATCAACTTAGAGGTTGCAATCTTATTTTTTTTAAATGGTACAGAATTCCTTAGAACAATTTAGTGTGAATCACTTGCAGCAAAGTTAAAGAAGTTTTTGTGAAATTTGATTGGGATGTGTTGTGTGTTGGGTCAGATGTAAAATATATTTCTTTCTGCAGGTCCTGGTCAAAAAGCAGCATCTGCCTCATACACTCTGGTGTCTTCATCACCCAAACAGGCTTGAGCCTGCTGCTGTGGGCTTCGAGTCCCCTCTTTCATCATCAGTGTGTCCTGTGGGTTTGTCATGCCCTTCTCCACTCCAAGGACAACCTAATCCCTCGTTCTCTCTCCACTGCTCACTCGCCCTCCTAACTGGTCTCTCTCCCAAGTCCCCGTGACTGCTGCCAGGGTAACCTTCCTCAGTGCAGCTTGGATTGGGCACCTCTTCTTTTTTTTTTTTTTTTTTTAAGAGACGGGGTCTCGCTCTTGCTCAGGCTGGTTTTGAACTCCTGACCTTGAGCAATCTGCCCGCCTCGGCCTCCCAAGAGCTAGGATTACAGGCGTGAGCCACAGCGCCCGGCCAAGGGCACCTCTTCTTTACTTCGAAACAAATAAAACAGGACTCTCCCTCCTACCCTTTTCCCTCCTTTCATTATCCATTAAGCAGTATTTGGTGGGCTCCTATGCCCATGTGCCCAGCAGCATCCTCCAAGCCAGCAGTGTCCTTAGGCCTTAGCTCACTTCCAAGCTGGCAGAAAGTGGCCTCAGGCTGCCTTCCCTCTCCACTGCCTATGCTTGCCCTGTACTGGGCAGTCTCTTGATTCTGCCATTTCCTCAGCAAGGCAGAGTGGAAAGAGCTTGGACTTTGGCATCTGATTTTGACTTGAATGTATGTTGCCTTGAAGATTGGGGTAACGTGTGCCACGTGTGTGGCGTGCAGTAGATGCTCAGTAGATGGCGGCAATTGTTCGAAGAAGATGCCTGTGCTTTGGCAAGCTGTTCTTCCTGCCCTGATTATCCCTTCTCAGTCCTCATGCCAAGGAGCTTTCCTTCTCATCCTCCTTAAGAAGTCTTTGGATTCTAATCCTCTGTTCAGAACGCACCCCTCCTCTCTCTGCACTCTGCTACCGTGTGGCCAGCATGCCTTTTCAGCCCTATTCCCATTCTGCCTGTAAATTAATTGTCCTACCATTGTATTGAAAACTGATCAAGGACAGGGACCATTTCTTACTCATCTCTGAATTTCCCAAAGTGCCTTGCTACCTGGACATAGTCAGTGTGGAATTTTGTCAGGCCAGGGAGGTGGGAGCCAGAGCCAGTGGCCATATCAGGTTCTTTGTAGAGAGATCTCTAGGCTCCTAACGTGATGGTGCATGGGATAATGACTGAGAAAGAAAAATGCAGTCCTAACACAGGAGCTGAGGGTACATGGGCCTGGCCGACCTCAAGGAGAACCAGATATTGTATAGGCGCCGAGGAGATGCCAGTAGCCCTCCTTAACCACTTCGGGACGAGCGTCGACTGTAGTCAAAGCCACAGATGAATGCGCATAGCGACTTTAGCCGACAGCCATGATGTGATTTTTCTGATTTTTCATTTATCAAAATAAAATTGTGAACATTTAAAAATAACATAATGAAAACATATGTATATGTTACCTATTCCGATTTACATGACAAGTAAAGCTGCCTGTAAAGGAAAATAAGCTTTCAGTGCTTTAAAGCTTTCCTCGTCACACAAGAGCAGAACGGACTCGTCGTCAATGCACAGCACACACTATCTTGCGGACTGTGAGTGCCGCTGTGGGTAAGGTTTCTCAGCCGTGAGCGCGGTCCCGAAGTGTAAGGTTTCTCGGCTGGTGAGCGCTGTACCGAGGTGGTTAAGGAAACAGGGATTTATTCCAGACAAAAGTCAGTCGGACACAGGGCTCCCGGCACCTGGTCAACAATCGGAGAAGTTCTCTTCCAAATAAGAGAGGACGGTACCATATTGGAGTCATAACCCCAGTAACACTCCCATGATTTATAAATTGGCAAGCAGGGGCCACAGCTTTCCTGATGGGCCCAACCCTGGGAAGCTGGGGTGAGGTCAGGAAATAGAACTTTTCAGATCGTAATTAAGTAAGAAAACATAGTACCTGCCTCCTACAGTATTTCATATTTGGAAATAGCTCACTTATAAAATTAAAATGTAAGGATGAGACCCCCCTAAAAATGTATGGCAAAATTGTAGTCTCAAAAAATTACTTTCTTAATTATGAAAGTAAACGGGAGGAAAACAAGAGTTGGGGACAAAGAGGTATTTCAGACTTGTCTGAGCTCTGCTGGCTCTCTGCCTGGAATGCTCTGACCACCAACTACTGTTTCTAACACCTTTTATTCACAAGACTATTAGTCGCGAGGTGAGCACGATGCAAAATTGAATGAAATGGACATGAATCCAGAGCTTCAGACCAGTTTGGATAGACAGAGAGGTGAACACGAGCCTCAACACAGGACAGTCTGAGACCGGCAGTCTCTGATCTTGCTAAAAATAAGGAGGGGGCTGTGTGTTCTGACTAGGAGGGCGGACAGGCAGCATTGAAGATGGCAGTGGGCAGAGCAGGGGGACAGCAGGGAGGGTCGAGGGCATTCCAGGGACAGAAAAGCGTGTGGAGAGGTGAGAGGCATCCACATCCTGCCTGTTCTTCAAGGTGCTGCCCTAAAGCCACCCAAAGCTGCACCTGATTCCTCCAGCTCCAGTGAGCCCACTCATTTGGGGATTGCTTTTTGCTATTTCAGTTACCATGTGCGTGTTGTTCCTCCAGCACCTCTGTCAGCAGACAGCGAGGTCCTGGAGGGCAGAAGTCCCCGGTCTGCAAACCATACTGCCTCTCGGGCACGGTTATCACTCAGTGCCCATTTGCTGAAGCAATGTGTGACGAAATGAATGAATGACCTGAGTATTCTGCTCCCTAGGAAAGTGCAGCGCGGTGGGGACGAGGCTCCTGACGAGGCTGCGAACCCCCCACACACCTGTCCTGTTCTCCTTCCTAGTTCTGGGCTATTCACCAACAATCCTGTTGTTTGAACACTTGACTCTGAGAAGGGAGGTCCCTGAGAATAAGATAAGCGTATCCTGGACATTGGAAAAATGTATCTTTCTCTGTAAATAAGCAACTTGATTTTCTAGGATATGTCACTCTGGCAGAAAATACCCATTCTCCCGTCATCTTTAGTAAGGCAAGTTGACCTCCATCTTGGCGACAGTGTTCAGCGAAAAGACTACATTTCCCAGAGGCCCTTACCGCGAGGGCTGGCCAATGGGGTGTGAGCAGAGCGGCCGGTGGGACTTCCGGGAGCGGAGTCTTTTCTGGCTTTGGGAGTTCCGCCCGCCCGCCCGCTGCCCTCTTGCCTCACTTGGGGAAAGCGGCCTGGAAGGCGGCAGAACCTGGCTGGAGTCTTGATGATGGGGCCGTGCCAGGCCTGGACTGCCTTCGTTCAGTCTTTATGAGAGAATAAAGCTTTAATTTGTTTAAGCCACTGTGACGGAGACTCTTACTGGCACTAGAACACAATTCCTAGCTGATGGAGTTTTTCGGGACTTTGTCCGAGTGAATCCCTGCCTCAAACGTGGGTACCTCGTCAATTCAGGACCCCCAGACCGCACGTGGAGCGGCACTCAAAGCGCAGCTCTATGTAGGGCCCTGACTGCCCACGGCGCCCCTTACAGCGGGGATGATCCATAAAATAAGCAATGGTCCTGGGCTGCTGAGCCATGGGGCTGGACAGAAGGGCCTGGGGCTCCCTGAGGCCAAGTCCGCTGAGATGGAAGGCTGGGAGAGAGGCAGGATAGGCAGATCCTGCGAGGTGGAGCCTGGAGGGGAGGCAGATGGGAGCACAGGCAGAGCTGAGAGGTCGGGCAGTTGCCCCTGGGCATGGGCTAATTTGTATGGCCACGTGAGGTTGCTGTGGCGAACTTCCCCTGTCCCCAAAAGACAGGGGTACTCTTGACTCTGGTAGCAGATGGAGTAGACCTCACACTGCCTCCTCACCTAGGACAGCTTCAATTTCTTCTCTAAAAACGGAAATGCTCAGCTTCTTAAGGGTGTGAGGGTTCCATGAGTCACAACAGTGAAGTCACTGCCTGGCTCCTAGTGGGGATCAATTTCCTTTCGTCTCTTCTTAGTTCCAACAGCCTTGCCTGACTCCCTGGCTGCAGAGTTTCCTGACAAGTGCCTTTGGCCACACAGAGTGCAAAGGAGTTGGGCCAGCACTGCACAGGGAAAGCCACCTGGAGAGCCTGCCTCTGCCAATATGGGAGGTCTCAGGGTTCTGATGAGCGGAAGAATTTTACTCCTGGAAGGCCCAGTGGGGCAGGGCCACTTGGGAAGCCAGGAAGGCAGAAGGAGAGCTGCTGCCAGGACTGACACAGGCGTGGGGGAGAGGGGAGGTCATGAGCAAGTGCTAGGCCAGGCTTGGAGGAGTGGCTTGAGGACGAGAGCAGAGCAGAGAGCAGAGCAGGGGACGGAGGGGGAGCTCAGAGAAACAGGAGCTGAGGCCCAGACAGGCACGTCTGATAGCCCCTGCTTTGAGGGCCTCTCCAGCCTTGGCTTGCTGGGCTGGGACGGTAGGGTAGCGTGTCTCTGAGAGATCCAAGTCCCTTAAGAGAAAGGTGCCGGGATGGAGCTTGATTTTCTCCGCTTTGCTGCTCCTTTGAGGTCCATTTTGAAGCTCCCATGGGTGGGTGCTGCCCACCAGCAAAAGATAGGAATCGAAGTGCTCAGATCCCGAGTGACAGATTCACTGTAAACATTGCAAAGCTCCACAGAGCTGTTGCCACTCTCCTGGCCTCAGCTGTCTGCTTCTCTTTCTAGGCCCCAGATTGAGGACTGTAATGTTGTCGCTCATAATTCTTTATCGTAAGAATGAGCCCTGAGCAGGAAGAGAGGCCCAGTGGGGCCAAAGTCTCACCAGCAGGCCCTGGGGCTTCTGGCCTCACTCTGTGTAGCTGGAGGAGGGCCTGGGTGAGAAAGGGCTTGGAAGGGCTTTGGGAAGAATCTTTGCATCTGGAGCTCAACAGGGTTCTCTTTCCAGGCCCTTGAGTGGACCTGGAGGGACAAGGAGTTGCCAGAAGCTTCTGGCACATTTGCCCAGTCAGGACAGCAGGAGCAGCCAGCAACAGTGCCTGCAGAGGGACAGCAACTGGCAGTGAGGCCTGGGCAATGATTCTGAACCCTCTGGAAGGCACGTTAACGTCCACATGGCTAGGCCCACCCCTAGAGTTTCTGAATCGCTAGGTCTGGGTGGGCCCTTGGAGACTGCATCTCTAACAAGCACCCAGAGCCTGATGCTCCTGGCTTCCAGTGCACTTGGGGAGGAGCAGGGGTGGCCAGGTCCAGTGGCCCTGGATGGCACTAGTGTGTGTGTGGATGAGAGGGGTGGGTTTGGGGGAGTGGGTGGGAGGTGGTTGTGGGCAGGCTCTGAGATGGTTCTCAACAGTCCTGGCCTGTGTAAGCGCCCCCCACTTTGAGTGTAGGTTGGACCGAGTAACTTGCTTCTAGACCATGGTAGAAGTGATGGAGCATCTCTTCTGAGATTAGGTTTCTAAAGACCGTGACCTTTCCTGGGCTTGCTCACCCTGATCACAGGAGCTGTGGTGCTGTGACCTGCCCTGGGAGAAGCCTACAGAGCAAGAAACTGAGGTGACTTCAGTCTAACAGCGCTGGAGGAACTGCATCCTGCCAACAACCACGTGAGTGGACCTGGGCGTGGACCCTTCCCCAGTCAAGCCTTGAAATGCCTGTAGCGCGGCAGACACCTCCACGGCGCTGTGTGTGCGACCCTGAGCTGGCGGCGCCCAGCTCAGCCGTGCCCGGATCCCTTATCCACAGAGGCCTGAGATAGTGCATCTTGTGGTTTTCAGCCACTGCTTTTGGGGTGATTTGTTATGCAGCAGTAGATAACTGCTATGGAGTTGTTGAATGAATGAGTTTTGGCAAAACAGCAGAAAGAGAGGCACAGGCAGATGGACAGACAACGGACACGCAGCAGCACCGGCTTTCCACCCTCCTCCTGCTCCTCACCCTGCAGGTCAGTGCCTGCTACGCCAAGCCTCACCCTTAGGCCAGTTCAGTTCTCCACTCAGTGTCCAGGCTACCGTGTGCCTGTGCCACGCCAGGTGGGGTCTCTGCCCTGGGCTTTATCCCCCAGTGCCCTCTCATATCTGACGTAGCTCAGGTCTCAGGGACAGAGTTGTCCAGAGTGAGGAGAGAGGAACTGCACCTTGTCAAGATGCAGCCACCCCGGGAGCCTTGACACTAGTCTTGGAGCTTAGCCCAGGGTCGGGACTCCCGGGCCGTGGCTTTCAGAGCCCTGGAGGTGTTGGTCCTCATCCCGCAAGGCTCAGCTGGCCGCAGCAAGTGAATGGACTCTGCTCTGAGCAGGGGCAGGGTGACCAGGCGGGGCTCAGGGGCAAGAGCATGAAGACCCGGGAGGCTGGCTGGGCATGGTGGCTCACGCCTGTAATCCTAGCACTCTGCGAGGCCGAGGCGGGAGGATCGCTCAAGGTCAGGAGTTCAAAACCAGCCTGAGCAAGAGTGAGACCCCATCTCTATTAAAAAATAGAAAGAAATTAATTGGCCAATTAAAAAATATATAGAAAAACTTAACTGGGCATGGTAGCACATGCCTGTAATCCCAGCTACTCAGGAGGCTGAGGCAGGAGGATTGCTTGAGCCCAGGAATTTGAGGTTGCTGTGAGCTAGGCTGACGCCATGGCACTGTGGTCCAGGCAACACAGTGAGACCCTGCCTCAAAAAAAAAAAAAAAGGACCCGGGAGGCAGGGACTTGCAGCCTGTGACACCTGCCATCTCCCTGGTGTCACCAACCCTACCCTACACATAACTGCCTAAGGCCCATCAAGACTGCTGCTCTCTTAGCTCAGTTTCCCTTAACCCGAGATATTTTCTAGAACCTCCCTCCCCTTCCCTATCACTGCTCTTCATTTGCATATTTCTCTGTTGGAAGTCTGGCTTTTCTGTAGCTGTGTGTTTTGGGGTTAACCTAACCTTGCAGGGCCTCATCTTTCTATCTGCTGTAAAATGAGAATAATAGTGTCACAGCAGATGATAGGGGGAGGCCCTCCCCACTTCTCAGCCCCCGCTGTTGGGGTTGTAGGGCGAGCACATGTGGCAGGAGCTTGGGGCCCTGGCAGGAACCTCGAGGTCAGTTCATTTAGACCCAGCTTCATTTCACAAAGGACTGGGGACACGCACTGTCTGCCGCTTTGTGGGAAAGGCCACTGGCCCTGCTCTAAGGCACAGTCTCTGGGACTTGGCCGTCTTCTCCCTAGTCGCACTACCCTTCTGGCCCAATGTCCAGCTTCGGTGCTCTGAAGCCCCTTAGGCCCAGGCCTGTCCGCTGGGCCTTGAAAGCCAACACCGCAGGGGCCTGGAGACTCAGTCTCAGTTACCCAGAGCCTATTGATAAGGGCACTGGATGGTCCCAAAGCCTTGTGCCAGCCGCTGGTTTCAACTTCTGTCATCCCGGAGCAATTGAGAAGTACTAAAATGGAATAGCAGGATGGTCAAAGGGGGCATGAAAGGGAGAAGGGGGAAGCGGAGGCCGGCTCCAGGTGGCCTGGTGAGCAGCTGGGCGGCAGTGAGAGTCCTGCCAAGTGTGGCTCATCGCCCCTGCCTCCCACTCCTCTCCTCCCAGGAGGAAAGGTGTGCCGCACATTAAGTGCGTCATTTAAAACTATGCTCAGGGGGTTCCTTCCGTGACCCATGCATGCCCCTTCTTCCTCGGTCGCCCGCTTCCTTGGTTTCCTTCTGATACTCTGGCTCTGCCTTTGGCTCCGCCGTGCTCTGACTTCCTCGCACCCCAAGCCTGTTCCAGTCGGGCCGGACCACTGCCTGGCAAAGCCGCGAGCTCGTCTGCACCAGCCTGTTCCCCACAGCTCTGCTGACACCAGGCACTTAGGGGCTCGGGCGAGAGCTGACCGGGACAGCATGTGGTGCCCTCCTACTTTCCAGAGGAGGAGACTGAGGCGCAGGCGAGGGGAGTTGCGTGCGCAGATCACGTCCAGCAAGGACACAGTGCGCCCTAGACCAGACGCCGCGTCCCTCCACTGCGAGGCGCCAGGGCTTTCTCATGCGTCTGGCTCTGTCCAAGGAAACCACTCAAGTGACTGTATTTGGGTTCGGTTCAGGCATGAACAGGCTTCTTTTTAGTTTGATTCCTGGCTAAGTAAATAATCAATTTGGGGGCCCAGTTTGGGGCTCGGCAAATATAAAATTATTATTGGACTTTCTCTTTTTCCTTTCTGAGCACACAGTGGGTCTAGGAGCATATCTGTATGCCAGAGGGAAGATCAGGATGAGCAAGCACTGTCCCCTTCCCACTCTCCCCAGCACGCCGAGGGCAGGGCTTGGTGGCTAGAATAGAATCTTGCATAAGGGAGGCCCAGACAGGGAGACACGAAGCGGGCAGGGCCGGCCTCTGGGCCCACTGCAGGGAGGGCGGGGAACGGGGGAGAAGGGCGGCGGGGAGTGGGGCAGTGAGCAGCAGGGGCCCAGGCCATGGAAGGACATGGGTGCGGTGTGGTCAGGCAGGCCCTGAGGAGTGGTGTCACCGAGCTGCTCCTCACTTCTGGGTGTTGCAGACATGTTCCTTATTAACCTCATGAGAAGGCCAGATTAGTGACAGATAACATAAATAAGAATTTTTTCCCTGACCATCTTGAGTTGAAGAGTGCTCTACGTTTTGTCATCTTGCTATGCTAACTTTGGTTTCAAGAAAACCATTTCTTCAGATCTTTCACTTGAAGTGGCTCCAAGCTAGACCCCCAGGGCCCCAGCCCTGTCTTTGGCTGAAGCAGCTGCTGGAGGTCTGGCCCCCACCCGCCCTCTCTCCCAGCTCTGTTTCCCCAGCAGCTCACCTCGTGGGCCCTCTCGGAGACCAGGATGAACCCGTTGTTGTCGACGACGAAGCAGTCCAGGTCCTGGGGAAGAGACCCAGCGGGGAGGTCACGCCAGAGTCCTGCTGCCACTGACTCGGCGTCCCTCCTGCCTGCCCACAGTTCAGGAAGGCAGGCCTCCTGGTTGAATGCAGACGCCCTCCAAAACCCAGCGCCACAGGGAAGGGGGCAGCTGGCTGCGGAGAGGACCGGGTTGAGGGGCCCCAGTTCCCTCTCCCGCCCTCTTCCCAGGGGAAGAACTTACCCTGTCCTCACAGGTTTGGGGGCACTGCCCGTCCACTGTGCCACACTGGAAGGAGGAGGAGACGCTGTGACTTGCAGGCCCGTGTGTGTGTGCGTGTGCGCACACACGCTCGCACGGGGGCTGTCCTGGTGAGCGTGCGGACATGCGTGTGTGCGTCTGTGGTGTGTGGCTGTGTGTGGGGAGGGGCTATTGCTTACGGTACGCTTGTCTGTATGTGTGTACAGTACATGCATGTGGTGTGTGTATCTGTAGGTGGAGGGCGAGTGTGGTGTGTGTGAGAGCGCATAGTGTGTGGTACACATGCGTGTTTGCACACATGGGGTTGCATGTTAGTGGGGTCAGCCTTTTCCAGAGGTGCCCTGGTCTGCAGCCCATGGCCTCCTTTCCTGGTGAAGGGGTCAGCCGCATCAGGGAGGCCTCATGGGATGGCTCCATGAACCTCCATGAAGGCTCCTGTTCTTTCTTTGTCATCTGGCTGATGTAGTGGGTGGCCCAGTTGCCCCTTCACCCTCCCTCCCCTCTGTCCTCACTTCAGGGCTCCTACGCTGCCTGGACACAGCGCCAAGCAGATGTGGCAAAGCAGGCAGCACTGCAGGGAGGATTCAGGGCTGGAGGGGCTTGTGGAGGACAGTGGGGACAGCTTGGGGCCCATAAGAGCCAAGTCTGAGGGGTCCAGGAGTATGGAGGGGAAGGTCCCGGCCAGGTGGAGACCTCAGTCAAGGGACAGTCCCATGGCAGCCCAGGTGGATGGCAGGAGGTGGGTGGGATGGCTGAGAGGGGCAAGGCCCAGAGGGGACGTGTGCCTGCCCTTGCAGGGCCTGGGCTGGGAGGCCCTGCATGCCGGGCAGGTGCCCAGGTAGAGAGGGACCCAGGAGGGCAGAGGGTGGTCACGTCTGGCCGACTGGGGCGCAGTGGCAGGGGAGAGGGAGTGGGGTGGCCAGAGGACCAGGAGGCCCTGAAGGCACCCGCCCCTGATGAGGGCGGTTGGTGAGCCCCAGCCCTGACCGGCGGCGCCACACCTACCTGCCGTGTGGCTGCCCAGAACTTGCGCCGCAGGAATTCCAGCTTCATCTGGACGCCCACCGCTGCCAGCAGTGGGAGGAGGGAGGGCAAGGCCGGGTATATGTTTTGGGGGAGGGAAGAGACAGGGAGAGAAAAAAATAGATTCATGTTAAAGAGAGGAGGTGCCTCAGCAGGACTGAGGGAGCGATTGTGAGCTGGGGAGTGAGAGGGGTGCAAGCGAAGAGAAGGGAGCCCATGGCTCCCACCCTCCCAGCTGCAGGACAGCCCCAGAAAATCTCGAGAACAAGGAGGACCAGATTCATCCTCAGATCCCTGCAACTCAAGGCAGGGGGACTAGGCGGATCATTCTCCCCTTTCCCAGGTGGGAAAGTAGAGGACAGAGGAACTGAGCACTTGTGCAGGATCATGTGGCCAATGGCGGCCACCTGAGACCGGGCAACTCTCAGGGCTGCTTAGATCTGAACCCCTGTAACACCCTCTGGCACCCGCACCTACTCAGGCTGTCCCTGTGCAAGGAGGCTCTTTCCTTGCTTGAAGTGATCAGATGTGCCCAGGTGTGCGGCCGCTTCCAGGAAACCTCAGACGCTCGGCCGCAGATAGTGCTCTCGACAGCTGCACTCGCAGGGCCACCCTCCTCTTTGACTCCCAAACAGTCTCAGAGAACCCAAGCGAGTGCTCACATGCTAAGAGAAATCTGGGACAAAGAGCTCCAGGAAAACTTGGGAGCAATGAATACAAAGAAAAGGCAGGTTCTATTGAAAAGAAAAAGAATGTAAAAATGAGGCCAGCCTCCTAGTGTCTGGCATTATAATATAAAAAATGTCTTGGGAGCTTAGGACGTGTCAGGCACCGTGACACACGTGGGTTTATTTGATCCCCGTGGCAGGATAGCACTGCCATTGCCCGGACTTTCCCAGCGAGGCAGTGGAGGCCTTCAGAGCCACGTGGCTTGGCCAGGTCACTGGCTGGTACGTGATGGAACCAGGCTTAGCTAGGTCTGTCTCAGGCTTAAGCTCTTGACCTCCCTCTCTCTGCACCTGGACCTGAGTCCTACAGCCACGAAGGAGGGTGGGGCACGGGCAGGCCACACCCCTCTGGGCTTCAGTTTCCTCATCTGTGAAATGGGAAGGGGTCTGGGGGCTTGAACATCATGTCGGGTCCATAAGAAATTTCTAGAGCCCCCTAATGGGCACTGGAGAGTCTTGCCATCACAGCCGTTCTGACTTCCTGAGTGCCCGGCTGGCTTTTCTCGGGGGGGCTAGAGTTCCAGGGTGACAGACAGAATTGTATTTTTTTTCCTTCCATCTGGAATGATGCTAGAGAAATTTGATGGGAAAAGATGAGTCTAGGGAAGAGTCAGGATTCTAGCCCTGGACTTTCCAGGGCTGTGATCTTTGGGCTTAGTTTCCCAAGTTGTAAAGTGAGTCATGATTGCGCTAACCCCAGAAAGGCAGGATGAGTGCAAGGTCACTGAGGCTCCATGAGACAACGAGACAACGTAAGGACTATTATCCCAGACTAGGCCATGGCCTCCAAACTTCAGCGTGCATTGGAATCACCTGGAAGGTTTGTCAAAATCCCATCCCCAGAGGTCAGCAGGTCTGGGCTGGGCCCGAGGGTCTGCATTTCTGAAGTGTTCCCCGGTGACGGTGGTGCTGCCGGCGCAGGAACCATATTCTGGGACCCCTGATCTGAAGCCTCACTGTTGGAACCATCTAACGGTGGAGATGTCCTCTATTGTGCTGTCCCAAACAGCAGCCACCAGCCACATGTGGCTGCCGAGAACATGCAATGTGGCTGGAGCAACTGAACACCAGAATTTTTAAAGATGTATTTGATTTTATTATAATGAACTTAAATGTAAATGGCCACACATGGCTGGTGGCCGCTGTACTGCGTAGCATAGTTCTAGAGCTCATCAGAGCTTGCTGATGAAGAAACAGAAGACCTGGGATCCCCTTCTCTCCCTTGGAGTCACGTGGCGTCTCTGGGGTGACACTATGGCCCCATGAGACAGGACCATTTTAACTCTTTGAGGGCTTCTTTGTTGCTTCAAGGTCCGGGTGGCTGAAAGGAGTGGGTGGGAAAGGGTAAGTGACACACTTGTTGGTTCGCAGCAAAGATGGAGCCGTGGACACAGCATGGGCCAGGAGGGCCATGTGCTGGGGCAGCATGGCCACCAGCCCCTCCTGCTGCCCACGAGCCTCTCTCAGTGTCTTCTCCTTTCCCTTATAATGCCACCTTGGTGTTCATTTTAGAGAGGTTTCTTTTACCTGCAGAAAAAGGCTAGATGAAAGAGGATGAACCTTCTAAAAATTGTTGGAGGGGAATCACATTAATGCTTAGAATGATCAAATCTTTGGGATTTAAGAAAACTTCTTTAACCCTGTCTTGGCCTCTGTGGTTAGAGAGGTCTGAGATTATTCCTAGAGTGAGACTCTGCCCTTCTCCTTGGTGGCTCAGTGTCCAGTCTCATGGAATGAGATTTCCAAGCTGGGAGAAATTCTCTCATTCTAACGCAGGAGTCTGGAGAGGGTGGGGCTTAATCCCTCTCTAATGAAACTCGGGTTTTGAGGCTTCTTGGGCAGAGTGAGGGGAGCAGGGTACCAGAGCAGGTTCAGCCACCTCTGGGTTCCAACTAGCTGCACCACAAACTCCTTCAAGGAAAGCTCTGTGTCCTTTGCAGAATTTAGGACCTTCTGGCTGCCTGCTAGCGTGCCATCTCCACTTGGGTTCCCCACGGCACTTCAAACCTAACTAGGGCCAAACTAGGGCCTTTCCTCCCCAAAGCTGACCCTCCTTGAAACGTCCCCATTTCAGGGCACATATTCTATCTGACTGCTAGCATTTACCCTCCTCCCATCCAAGTTCTGCAGACCTTAGTGGCAAAACTTCACAAAGCTGCCCACTGGGATTCATGCAAGGGACCCCACGAGATCTCCCTGCCTCCCAGCCTGCTTCTCTGGGATCCACTCTCCACATAGCCATGAGAATGCTCTTTCTGAAGATCAAATCATGCCACTCCCTGGCTTAGAACCTGCCAATGTCTCCCCATTGCCCTTGGGCAAATCTAAACAAAATCTAAACTCCTTTGTAAGATGCCATGTGAGCTGGCCCTGCTGGGTTGCTGATTCAGCCTGAAACACTTTCTCCTCAAACACGTTGCATTTTTTCCCACCCCAGGGCACTTGCACGAGCTGTCCTCTCCTGGAGTGCCCTGCCCCAGACCTTCCCACGGGCTCGGCACACGCGGTCTCCTGGAGGCCACCCCAGACCTGCCGAGACAAAGCCCTCCCTGTACCTTTCGTGCTCGGCCTCGCTGCCTTTTGAAGTGACACGCTTTGTTTATTTGATTTTTCATTCATTGCCTGTCTTACCCCGTTAGAATTGGGCGACTAGCAGGCGAGGGGGTTGCGCTCGGATCCCCAGAACAGTGCCTGTCACACTCGGGGCTCCATGGCTGTTTCTTGAGCGAAATAAATAAATTCAACCTGAGCCAGCAACTTGACTGGGAAGCAGAACCTGCAAGGTCTCACTGTCCCGAGCTCCCGGCTCCAGGACGCTGTGCGCCTGCACCCTCGCTGGCGCTGCCTCGGGGCTCCAAGACTGACTGAGCTCCTAGTCCCCAGGAGACCTCGGGGGCGCCTCCCACTGAGGAGCAGGGAGCTCACAAGAGATACAGGGAGGAACTTCCTCCTGGTGAGAACAGTAATGCTGGAAACAGGACTTGGCTCCGGGTGGGAAGGGCGTGAGGAGCACAGGTGTCTTGACAGTGGTCAGCCATGCTCTGCCAGTGGCCCTAACCACCGCCAGCCCTCTGCTGACTCCGGCCGCGCAGCCCAGGCTGTGCTTCTGCACCCCAGACTCACCGCGGGAGCCTGGTCTGCCCTCCCAAGACCCCGGTTCTGCCCTGTGGTCGGCTACTGTCAAAGGCCTCGCTGGAAGAAGACTGCCTCCCTCCATCCCTTCCGGCCAGGCTGTGGCGTGCAGGGGGCAACACCTTGTGACAGTCTGTTTGCAGACAAGCTCACACTCTGAGTGAGGAGAAATCCAGGCAAAGGGGCCGAGGGGCTGTGGGGCACTTGGTCTTTCTGGTTGCCTCTCCTAGTGGGTTGTTAAGAGATCTTCCCTCATGTCTATTTTAGATGCCAGCCTTGGTCCCCAGAGGACCTGGCATGACCTGATAGAGGACACATCTGAGACCCCTTACTCCTGTCCTAGCCCGGCCTGGGTCCCTCCCTCCCGGCTGTCCCTCCCCCCTGGGCTGTCTCCTGCCCCCTCTCTGGCCTGCTCTCCACAGGGATCTGGTGCCTTCCCCGAAGCAGCTTTGCCCCAAGGTCTCAGCTCCACTCAGCTTGGCTCGCAGACACCCTGACAAAGAGCCTCCGTAAGGCCAGGGCGGCAGACAGCTTGTGGAGGTGCATGTCTTCGCTCCCATCCTGGCTGTCACCTTAGAGCTGCTTTGTCATTACAGATGGCAAAACAAAGCAGCTATGCGTACGCACACACATGTACACGCACACACATACCACACACACATGCACGCACAGCGCACACGTGCACACCCGCATTCACACACTCAGAAATGATCCTTGCCAAGCGCCACGGTCCCCAGGAGCCAGAGGCTCCAGCTTGTCCCTCCTTGCCCCGGGTCTGCTCTGTCCTCCCTCCTCTGCCCTGGTGTCCCAGCCTTGGGACCTCATGCTTAACTGAATCGGGCAGGGGCTGTCTTCTGAAACACAAGCTGGGCACCTGGCAGCTGGCAACACATGCTCTAGTCATGGAATGCCAGTGTCTGAAGGGAGACCCGAGACCTCGTCCACGTTCTCATTCTCCAGGACAAGAAACCAAGACCGCAGGGCTGCTCAGCTAATTAACTAGCTGTCAGCTGGTTGCCGAGCAAGAGTCTGACTCTGGGCTGCCATGCCCGGTCTTGGGCTCTTTTATCTCTTCCGTTCTCTGCTCCTTGACAGGAAGGTGTGAGGGTGTGCGGGGGGCGTGGAGTGAGTGAGGCGGGTCCCTCTCTTGAACAGCTCGCCATGTGAGAAAGGAGGTAAACCACAGCACAGAAACCTGCTGCACAACTGCTTCTGTGAAAAGGGCCACAGAGTGGCCCAAAGAAAATGCCACAGATCAGAGAAGGCGAAGGTTGAGTCCTGTGGCTTTCCAGGGACATTTCATATGGGAGGTGACATTCTGGTTGAGGCTTTAGGGAAGGGGGAGGTCCCGGGAGCACATCCCAGGCTCAGAGAAGGACACACTTCCACGGAGAGGGGAGTGGGAGGTACATTTAGGGGGAGATGGGGGCCTCATTTGCTTAAAGGGTGGGGTGGGTGGGGTGTGTGGGATGTCTGTCTGTCTGTCCATGCAGGTGAGGGGCAGGGACTCCTGAGAGGTGAAAGATGCTCTCCCGTCCTGTGACAGCAGTCCACGCCCTGCACCACCCAGGGCCCCAGCAGAGCAGACAGAAAGGGGGTGCTGGAGCATCCTGTCCTATTAGGGATATCCTGAGTCCTGGCTGTGAGTCCCCCAGAAAGCAGGTGGAATGGGAGAGGGACACTGGGACACCATGATGTAATGCCAACACACCACTCCATCCAGGTGTCAGGCAGGCTTTAAAAGATGCAAGGGAAAGGTCATTGAGGGGTTGTAGCTCCTAGCTGGGAGCTGGGACTCTGGCTGCCCTCTGGCTTAGTCCCTGGCCACTGTGCCTTTGTATCAGCCACTTTCCAACAGACAGAGGTCTCTGAATTCTTGAGTGACAATCTTTTCTCTTGGAATGCCTAACCCATCCCAGATAAGAGTAGAGAGCTCTGAGAAGCAGATCTCATCCTCAACATTGAGAACACCTGGAGCTCCCTGTCCCTAGGGTCCCCCACCCACCCCACCTCACCTGCTCTAGCATCTCACTCTCCTAAATAGTCCTGGCCTGGTGTGGTCAGAGCCTGAGGCTCAGTGACCTCTGCATGGCCAGGTGGCCACTGGGTGTGTGCTCAGGCCCCTGTCTGCAGGTCTGGCACTCAGCGCCCTGTGCACCCCTGCGCTATCCTGTCTCGGAATGAATCTCCCCTTAACTGAGCAAGGGGTTCGGTTTTTCCTTCTCCCACTGGCAGGACAGGAGACGCTGCCCTGCCATGTCCCTGAGACGGGACACAGAGCCCGCTTCCCAGGGAGGCCCCGATGGGGAGGAAAGTCAGCCAGCTGGCTCTGGGGTCTGGTCCTGCCCTTCTGTCATCAAGTGGAAGGAGAGAGAGGAAGGAGGGACGGAAGATGGGCAGCCGGCAGGGAAAGATGGAGGCGCATGTGAAACCTCCTCCCTCCTCCCGAGCCAGACGGACTAGTCCACAGGCGCCCTTCCACTGGAATGTGAGCGCGAGGTGAGTGCTGCCCGGGCTGCCGCTGGCGCCTGTGTGCCGCCTGTGTGCCGCCCGCCGCCACTGTCATCACAGATGCACCCCAGCCGCCACTCTGCTCGCGTTCCTGCCGCACACGCGCGCTCTCCTCCCTCTCCCCTTTCTTCCCCTCTCCTCTGTCGCCCTCTGTCCCTCCCACTTCCCTTCTCAGTTTATGGTTGACCCAGCACCCGGTCCCCTCATCCCTGGCCACCTGGGCGCTCCACCTCCCGTGTAGCGAGCTGCACGCCGGCCTTGTGCGCGGCCAGAGGGGCTCTGGCACCGGCCCTGTGTGCTCTGCCTGCCCTGGGCGCCTGGTTTCTCCTGGGACCCCAGGAGAGGCTCGCTGGAGAGCCCAGAGCCACCTGATTGAAGGCGCTTGCAGCCAGAGTGAAGAACGGTGAGTGCTGCGTGGAGGGGGAAGGAATGAAGGGTTGGGGGGCAAGGGGTGGCCTGGCATGGGAACTGCGGCCGGCCGTGTCTTTGCCCTGCACGAATGGGTTGCAGCTGCCTCTTGCCAGGGGCAGTTGCTGGGGCTGGGGAAGCTGCTCGGAGCAGATGCTTGAGCATCCCAAACGGACAGAACACTGGGGACTCTGACCCTGCAGTGCTGGGGACATGAGCCGTGGATTCAGCTGGGGAGGGGGCAGGGAGGGAAGGGGGGAGGGCAGTGCTGGTGCCAGCTGACAGCCCCGGGTGGCACAAAAGCAGTCCCTGCAGCATGGGGAGAAGTAGCCAAGAGCCCTGTGCTGCTTGCATGCCCACACAGACTGCCAGGGGCCAGGGGCCAGGGGCTGGGGTGGGGGGGGGGAGTGTGGCATGGCAGGCCTCTTGGTGGCCTGGCTGGAAGAGAGGAAGGCTGGGGGGGCAGGGTGGAGGACCTCACTGTCTGAGGCTTGAGAATAGACCCTAGGTCTGGGCCTCTTTACAGGTTGCCTGGGGTTGGGGCTGCTGGCCTGCAGGTGGCTGTCCTTGGACAAGGGTGCAGTGGGGGCCCTTCCCCAGTTGGACACAGGTCCATGTAGCTGTGGGTGAAGCCTCACAGGTGGGGGTGAAGCTGGGAGTGGATGAAAGAGAGGAACGCTGTGGCTCTTCCTCTCGGGCCCAAGGGCACGGGGGCCCTGGGCTTGTGAGGACTCACCGGGGTCCAGCCACCAGACACGCAGCCCTCTGTCCACAAAGGGGTGAGGATGCCTTAGTGGGGCTGTGCACTCAGCTGGGGGTGCGTAGCCAGGCCATGCCTGCCGGCCTCCCCACTCAGGGAGTGTGGCCACCCTGACTTGTAGCCGGGCAGCCACCCTCTGTTCCCAGGCCCACTCCCAGGTGCTACAGAGAGGGCCCCTGGGCCTGGGAGTCTGAGGTTCAAATTCCTGAACCTCCCACAGGTGCCGGGCTGGGTTCCAGTTGGGGGGTGATGTTGGCAGCTGGCTGTCAGGGCTCAGTGGCAATGCCTCTGTGTGACTCAGACTGGCACCCCTGCCGCTTAGATAACTACCTGGGGGGAGGGGCAAGCATGAGGAGCCTGGCAGGGAAGTCCAGCTGGTGGGGAACCCCAACTGTGAGCTGCCAAGAAGAACCTGGCTCTCCCAGCCCCACCACCCACCTGCAGAAAGTCTCCCGCGCTACCAAAGGAGGGGCCAGGGAGGCCAGGCCTGGGGCGGGGCAGGGGGGTGGGAGAGGAGGGGCAGCCTGTCCCCTCTGGGTCCCCCTCCTTCTGCCCTCAGTCAGGCCTCCCCTGTGCCCTGCCTGGGCCACCGCCCCTAGCCCAGCTCTGGGGCTCAGTGGACACCTGGCTTGTTCATGGCAGAGGTAGCTCCCGTGAGGGACACTCAGGGGCTCCTCTGCTCTGCTCCCCAGAGTGGCTGTTTGGGATTGGGAATATTTGACAAGGAAACAAGGGTGCAGGAAGCTGGGGGTGAGAATGGGGGGTGTGTTTTAAAACGAACCAGGAGGGTATATGCCTGTTCCAAGTACAAATATAGAGATTTTAAAAAATCTGCTTCCTTGCTGCCTGGGCAGTGTATGTTACGGGGGTGACGGCGGGCGGGGAAGAGATCTGGATGTGCAGACCGGTGGTGGCAGTGGCATCCTCCCTGTGTCCCAGCCACGCAGAATCCTGGGGCCTCTTCCACACTGGGCTTGGGCTCCGACCTCTCACAGGCCTGGCCCTGCTTCTCTCTAGCCCTCCGCACAGCAAGATGGACGACAGAGTGGGCCTGGAGGGCCTTTTTGCGCCACGTTCTGTGAGTCTTCCATGCTGAGGGTGCAGGGCCTTGTCCCAGGGAGACAGACACCAGGGAGGAGCACGGCAAGGCCAGCCTGAGCGTCAGGTCAGGGCCACTTGCCTTGCAGGGATGCATGTGGGAGCAGCGGCAGGAAGGGCATGGACTTCAGGCCTGTGCCAGAGGCTTCTAGCTGGAGTCCGAGCCAGCCCTGCCCCAGGCCAGGGCCCCCATCCCGGTCCTGCCCTGCAGTGAGCCAGTGGGCAGCCACACCTTGCCCCCACCCGGGGAACTCCCAGGAACCAGCTCCCACCCCAGTCTCCAGGGCTCCCTCAGCAGCACCTATGGCAGCCTCTGCTCCCAGGATGCCTCCTGCACGGCTCCCCAGCCTGCCTCCCTGAGCCTTGCCCGCCGCCCTCGCCTCAGCACACGCTCCCAGCCGGCACGGTTTCTGGAAAGGCCCCTCCACCCACCCACAAGATCTTGGCCTCCCAGGACTCATGGCATTACTGGAAAGAGAGGAGGCTGGAGGTGAGGAGGGAACCTGGCCTGTACCTCAGTCCAGCAAGTCACAGCTGTTTCCTCATCAGTGTGACCCGGAGGAGAGCAGCCGCTTCCGCTCCCAGGAGGCAGTGGACAGGCAGAGCCATGCACTCTGTGGCGCTCCCCTCAAATGGAAGGGCGCGGAGCCTTCTCCTACCTCTGCCTTTCCTACACAGCAAGGTGGCAACTGGGTTAGGAGCCAGACAGCTGGGGCTCAGAGCTGTGGTCTTCCCTTTGCCTAACCTGTAGCTAGTTAGTTAATTTATAGTGCCTCAGTTTCCCCCTTGCAAAATGGTGGTTAATAAAAATACTAACTTCAGAGAGCGAGAGGATTAAGAACACTATGCAGGTATTCGTGATGTGGGGACTGCTTCTCCCCACACAAAGGCTTCTTGAAGGAGGTTCTGCTGGCAGGATGCTCCCCCAGGCAGCTGGCGCCTGGCCCCAGTGGCTGCTTGCCAGGTGAGGAGGACCTAGCCTAGTACTTCTCAAACTTGCAGGTGCATGCCGGATGGGATCTCCTGGGGATCTTGTTAAAATGCAGATTCTGACTCAGTCAGGTGGGACCTGAGCCCCTGCAGGAGTCCAGAGGACTCCTGGCTGGAGCAGCACCAACAGCTTGGCCGCACTGTGAGCAGCAGGAGCTGGCGTCTAAACCAGTTCCTGGTTCCCTGTCCCCACTCGCCTGCTTTAGCTCCTAGCTCTGTTCTCCAGGCCCAGTTCTCTGCTGCCAAGGAGGCCCAGGGACCCCCTGGGGGCCCGGCCCCTTGTCTCTGGTCTTTATATCTCTGGGACTGGGTCAGGAGCAGGTCCAGCCTCCAGAGCTGGCGAGGCTGTGGGACCTGGGGATAGGAGATCATTTTGTCCCCATTCTGCACCCTGGGTAGGGACTTCCCTTCTAGACTGTGTTAATTTATTTCAGCAGCTATCAGTGCCTGCTGCTGCAGCTGCTCTCCAAGCTTCCCAATGTAGGTCACCCCCTTTCCTAAGGAGGCTCCACTCTGCTGAGGGTGGGGAGGGGTACTGTGGTTGGAGGTGTGTTGGGAGACGGAAGGCTAAGGGGCTAGGGAGTGCTGGTTCCAGCCTGCATCTCCCTAAGGGTCCTTCTGTGGTGCCAGACACATACACACATGTATGATGTGTCCCTTTGTCCCCTACTGGGCATGCTGCCCTCCCCACTGTCAGGAAGGCCCCGGCATCCAGCAGGAAGTCCTAGGGGCTGATGGAGGCAGCATCTGCCCAGAGAACACAGGGCACAGCCTCATGGACCAGGGGGATTTGTTTTGGTCACATTCCTCCACAAGATACCAGGGTCAGCACTGTCCTGCCACCTTGCAAGGCAACACCTGTGGGTCTGCACTGTGAGGGCTTGCCTGCCTTGTTCAGCACAGTGACATCCCTCCAAGACAGGGCTGAGGTGTCAGGGCCTGCTAGCAGGCTGCCTCTCTGCTGATGGCCTCTGTGCTGGTCAGTGCCTGGGCTCATAGTGGGGTGACACTGAGGGACAGGAAAGGGTGGGGTGGAGGAGAGGAGCCTTGGGTGGAAACAGGCCTGAGCCTGGGCAGGGGTCTCTCTGCTGCCTATCCCTCTGCAGGAAGCCAGAAGCCTGGTTTGGGGATCCAGGCTCCACATGGCCTGGGCATAGGCCATGTCCTGGGTTAGGGACTGCCCTGCAGGAGCCCCTCTAGACCTCACTTCTAAGCTGGAGGTGTCTGCTGTCTGCTAGGGGCATTTGGGAACTTTGAGGCATCTCACTCTACTGCCCAAGTGTTGGCATTTAGGAAGTGCTCGAGCATGGCCCACAAGGTGTTGCATGTGCATGTGCGTGTGTATACATGTGTACATGTGTGCGTGTGTTAGCATATGCCTAGCTGCACAGCTTTCTGTGGGTATGTTTGCATCACGTGCTGTGCATGGAGCTCCCAGCACGTGTCTGGGAGGCCTGTGAGTGCGCACGGCCCCGCGCACACATAAGCATCTCCCTGTGAGGGCTGCTGCGGGGCGACAGTCGCTGGCCATGATGAGCAGCCTGGCTCAGAAGCCTGCAGCCCAGTCTCCGACTGTGTGACCTTGGGCAAGTCGGTGATTGTCTCTGTGCCTCGGGTGACGTTCACCTGCCTATCTCATGGGCGCGTGAGCTCGTGATATGAAGGCTGTGGACTGAGTAAGAGACTGTTCTGAAGGTCAGGGCTCCAGGGCCGCACGGCCGACGCTGCTCCGGGGCAGGCAGGCCTGCGGGGGTGTGCGGGGCGGTGCGGAAATGACCAGCCCACAGGCCACGACCAGGACAAGAAATAATCCCGTGTGAGGCTGGTGGGGCCAGGGAGGAGATGGCTGCAGACCCACTGCTAGCGCTGTCCCTGTCCCGGGAGGGGGCTGCTTCCTCCCACCTCTTGCTAAGGTGAGCGCACTCGGTGGCCAGCTTCCTCCCTCCATCAGCCTGAACCTGGGGGGGGGTTGGGGGGGGGAGTCCACCACTGGGGACTGGTCATTGCTTTCAGACATAAGAAACTGAGGCCCAGAGAGGTTAAGCAGTTGTTTAAAGGAGTGGCAGGTGGGGATTTGAACCCAGTGTCCCGACCCCACTCCTGGCCGTGAGAGAGCAGTTAGAAAGTGACCACAGGGATGCTCTCAGCATCTCCTCCACCCCCCTGCCAGGCACTTGGATGCCCCTAAAAGGCAGTGTGGGCCCCGGGGCTGCTCCCAACCCCCACATCGGCACCCTGTTCTTGTGAGCCTGTGCCAGCCCCTGCCAAACCCGCTCCTGGTGGAGGGGGCCCACAGCTCACTCCCGGGGGCCACTCTTGTGGGGGCAGAGCCAACTGTCCTGTTCTCACCGAACACTGCAGTGGCCCCTGAGGACTCCAGAGAGGGCAGGGCTGGGGTGCAGAAGAGAGAAATGGGGACAACAGCGGGACCCCAGCGTCTGAGAGACAACCTCGGAAATGCTGAGATTTCTGAACCCAACACTGAACTTCCAGCAGCTCCCTCCACCTCCTGGCCGTCAGCTTCATGCTGCCAGTGGGTCCTAAGGCTCCCAGGATTAGATGGGCCTGTGGGGTGCAGGGGGGCTGCAGCCAGGACCCACCGGGGAGGGCAGACGGTGGGGCCTGCCAAGAGTTGTGGGCTGAGGGCCAGGGCGTGGGGGCGGATGTCTTTCTGCCTGGCGGAGGGGCCTACAGTCCCCTGTCCCATCACTCTGATGGCTGGGTGTGGAGGCTGTCAGCCACATCTGGAAGGAAATGGGAACCCCAGAGCTGGCCTCTGTCCCACTTAGGGGACACTGGGTGGGGCAGACCCTAGGAGGGGTGAGTGCCCCCCAGGCCCTCCAGAAGAGAAGCATGCTTTCTGCACCCCACCCCTCAGCCCTTCTGCTCTGGATCTCACCTCTCCTGTGTCCCGCTTCTCCCCAGCAGCTCCACAGCGTGGACCCTGAGCTGAGGAGTCTCACAGCTGGCGGGAGACGGAGCACTACAATTCACCTCCACAGTTCACACCCAGCCCCGGGCAGACACCGCCAAGGGCGTGGTCTCTGCCTCGCAGGGGCCATGGTGAGTGGTGGCGGGGCCGGTGTGACTGGGACCCTGTGAGGAAGGCCTGCGGGACAGGCTGGCTGTGGCCTGGGACCTCACTGTTCACCTCGGAGAGATGTCCCTCAGTTTCCCCACCTGTGACACGGTGTGGGGTGGTGCTCATCCAAGGAGACCGTGTTGCTATGAAAACAAGAAGAGCAGGGCGAGGCTGGGTGGGACATTGGTGGGGCTCCAGCACAGAGGCCGCCCTGGGAAGTCAGGCCGGCCCGTCCCCTGTGGAGAGGCTGGGTTCCTGGCCTCCCTCCTCCTGCTCCCTCGCTCCTCTTCCTCCCCCACCCAGGGAACAGGAGAGGCCTGAAGAGGGCTGTAAAGAGACACCTCGTCCCTCCCTGCTCCAGCAGGCTGCTCAGTGCTCTCTCCCGCAGGACTGACAGGCGGTGCACCCAGGGCTCCTCTCTCCCCAGAGCGCCAGCCGAGAGCTGAGGGCTTCACTATGCTGGCTCCAGGCAGCCACCCCAAGCAGAGGACCAGGCCTGCCCTGCAGTGGCGGCAGGTCTCCTGTGAGTATGACCCTGGGCAGGGGCAGGGCACCGCGGGGCAGGGGCCGGGGCAGGTGAGCACAGCAAGGAGTGGGGCTGATCTCAGGCTGTGGGCAGGTCTAAGACACATCTTCCTGGGCTGCCCAAGGGGACTTCCATGGCAGCCAAGGACAGAGTCACCACTGGGAGCTTTAGTGATTAGACCATGAGTGGGAGACCACGACAGTTGGTTCTGTCTCCCCAGGTGAGTCCCTGTGTCCTTCCCCATGCTTTGGGCTACCTGCTAGTAAAAAGAGAATGGCCAGGCCTCCCGCTAAGTAGAGTGGGCGGCACCTGAGCCTGTCCCACCTGTGCATCGCCCACCTGCTGAGCGGGCAGTCCTGCCTCCCCACCCGCAGCTGGGCCCAGCCGGCCCGCTGCTCTGCAGAGCTCCCCTCTTGTCTCTCGTGCCCTTCAAGCCTCAGTCTCAGACTCTAGTGCAGGAACCTGTGGCTCGGGCTGTGATGATGGAAGAGCCAGCAGGGACTGGGTCGAGCCCCTCCTCCAGCACACGGGAACTGAGTCTCTCTACTGCTCATAAACAGGAATAAATGCTAATGAAGGCAGCCCGGGAAAGCTGTCAGGGTGAAAGAGGCCCTGAGAATTCTGTTTATCTGAGGCAAAGGGATGAGATTGATAAGGGCTGGGTGCCCAGGCCATGTGGTGAGAAATGAGAAATGGTCCCACAGGGGCAATTCTACCTGACCTCTCCCCTGGCCATGCCAGCCCTGAGACCTGAATTATTCACCGTGTGAGAGTGGCTGATCCCCGAGCAACTCAGATCTCCTTTCAACCTCATTCTGGGACTGTGTGACACTTCGCACTGCAGGACGGTGCACTCTTGTCACCAGAGCCGAGTGCCACTCTGAGTTTCTTGGGGTGGGGACAGACAGTTGCTCTCTCCAAAGTGCTCTCTTCCCACCCTGTCCCCCGCCCCTTCCTTGGGAGGGCAGGTGGCTTCTAGTTACATGGAGCCTTTTGGGCGGGAAGGTGGATGGACTGGACTTTGGGGACAGTAAAGTCTGAGGGATGCTGGTTTTCAGTGGTATGGGGCAGGCTGACCTGGCAGCAGGGGATCTCAGAGGTGAGAGAGGGTGAAGGGTGGCAGCAGGTGACCTCAGATGGCTGGAAAGGGCTCCTGTTGGCTTCTGTGGCCCCACCTGTGCTCATTTCCCATCAAGAGCAAAGGAGCTCGGGTGTCAGCTGTACAGGGTCTGTCAGCTGTCATTGAGCCTCCAGGCAGGGGAGGGTGAGAGTCTCATCCTGTTCTGTCAAGCCCCTCCCTTTGGGACATCAGACACCCAGCCACCTACTGGACAGAGACTCAAGACTGTCCATCCAGGCATCCAGGTCATGTGGGGCTGGTTAGGCCTTTCCTCTGGGCTTGGGGGAGCTGCTGGGCTGGACTAGGGCGTGTGAGCTCATCCTGTTTTCCCTCCATAATGAGCAGGCTTCTCTGACACTCAGGAGGACAGCTAGGGAGGGCTCTGAGGTACTGCTGGAAAGGGCTGCTCCACAGTGCAATGCGCTGCTCTGATGTGATCATCCCCTGAGGGTCACTGCCCCCAGCCCTGCAGACGGGACCCCATGCTTGCTCCTCAGAGGGGTCTTGGGCAAAAGATGGGCCCAGGAATGGATTTCTGTTCATGCAGGAATGCTGCCCTGTAGCCCCTAGGAACAGGAGCCCAGGCTGAGAGCCTGGGTGGCTGTAGGATGAGAAGAAATAAGGAGCTCACACTGGGCCCTCGACTGCCAGCATCGATGTGGAGTCATGCACCTCACCCGTGTCATTCCCACACTGGGACCCTACGTGCCTCGCTGGGCTCCCACTCCTCACTCGAGCTGGCTGGCCCCACCTTGCGTGTGTGGCACTTGGGGAGTTGCAGGGACAGGGTTAGGAGTGCCCCTTTGTGCTCTCCCCTTTCCATGCTCAGCACATCTGGCCTAGTGCAGTTCAGGATGGGGGTGGGTGTGAGGGGAAGGGGCCACAATGTGGCCTTTTTCTTTTGGAAACAGAAGATCTTTCTTTGGGCAGGACACTGGCAAAGGAACATGGGCGTAGGTTTCTCTGACACCTTTATATCCTTTATTTTATCAACATCTGTGGTGTCAGTGGGACCCAAGCTCCCAGGGGGATCAACACCAAGAGGCCCTGTGAGCTGGGGTGTCCTTGTGGATAAGGGGTACTCGTCCTGGGCCTGGGCCTATGAGTCCACAGGGTCATTCTCCACCCAAGTGGTATCTTTGCCAGATGCACGATGAGGCCAGGCACTGTGTGATGTCCATTAACATAGCAGTGGCCTGGGATTTGTTAATTATCTTGTTATGTGGTTAATATGTATACATTGATTGTGATCGACTATGGCTGGTGCCAAAGCAGAGAAAGCCAGGAAGTTACTATGGTATGAATAGAAAGGAGGAAATAGAAGCAGGAGGTGGTAACCTGAGCTGTTGCTTTCTTTCTACCTGTCCCCCACCCCCAATGCCCCCTTGCAAGGGATCACCTGCTGGATCGCCCTGTACGCTGCGGAGGCGCTCCCCGCCTGCCCTTTCTCCTGCAGGTGTGACAGCCGCAGCCTGGAGGTGGATTGCAGTGGTTTGGGCCTCACGTCGGTGCCCCCGGACGTGCCGGGTGCCACCCGAACCCTCTTGCTCTTGAACAATAAGCTGAGTGCCCTGCCAAGCTGGGCTTTCGCCAACTTGTCCAGCCTGCAGCGGTTGGACCTGTCCAACAACTTCCTGGACCAGCTGCCCAGCTCCATTTTTGGCGACCTGACAAACATGACTGAGCTGCAGCTGCGCAATAACAGCATCAGGACCCTGGACAGAGATCTGCTGCAGCACTCGCCACTGCTCCGCCACCTGGACCTGTCCATCAACGGTCTGGCCCAGCTGCCCCCTGGCCTCTTCGATGGGCTCCCGGCTCTGCGCTCCCTCTCACTCCGCTCCAACCGCCTACAGAATCTGGACCGGCTGACGTTTGAGCCCCTGGTGAGCCTGCAGCTGCTGCAGGTGGGGGACAACCCCTGGGAGTGTGACTGTAACCTGCGTGAGTTCAAACACTGGATGGAGTGGTTCTCCTACCGAGGTGAGCACAGCCCTGCCCAGGCCCCAGGGATTGGGAGGATCACTCTGGGCCCAGTGCCTTTTCCTGGTGGCCGGGTGCTGACTCAGGGAGCAGGTCTCAGAAGAAGGGTGACCCTACCTCTCTGCCAGCTGGGCTGGAAGAGCCACAAACTTCACCCTCTATGCTGAGCCAGCAGGAGAGGTGGGTGCTGCTCCCCTCCTCCCTCGTTACCCCTTGGTGTTGGGTGTCCAGCCACGACTTACTGTAACTTCCTGTGTAGGTTTAATGAGGGAGCCTAAGGACTCGGTGTACTTTTTCTAGGATCTGCATCCAGGTATGCCTTTGGGCTTCCCCAGCATCATAGAAGGAGGAAGAAAAAATTCCCCTTCTTCTGAATACTGCAGCCACCTTAAATACCCACCCTGTGGGACAGTGGGCTGTAACCGGCTCTGCGGATAAATGGAGTTTCCCTTTGGTGAGGGCGTCCACTTCCCTCCACAAGAAGCTTTGTTATCAAAACTTCTAATAAGAAGGCAAATGGTTTAAGTTTTACTTTCTTTCCTTCCTTTTTTCTGTAACATGGGAAAATTCTGTGATGATCTACAGAATGATCACATGACATGGGAAAAGGAGGGTCAATGAATCTGCTCAGTGCTAGGCGTGGCAGGTCTGGGTCTGAGCTCTGGCCCTGCCGTGTCTCACTGTGCCATCTTGACAAAGTTGGCTCGCCTCTGTGTGGCAGTGCTTGCCTGTGAACTAGGGAGGAAGCGGTGTCTGTCTCGGGGCCACTGTGAGGAGTGAATAAGGCAATGCGTGCAGTGTCTGGAACACGCCCGGCATGCAGCAAGTGCTCAGTAAAACGTCCACGTATGTGTTCACTTTTGAGTAGTGTCCGAACGTGACGTGGGCTTGACGAAACACAGTGCAGTGCCCGGCACACAGCGAGTGTGCCATGGATGCTGGATGAATGAGTCAACACAAAACTCTGTGAAAATAACGCCATTGCTTTTCCCTGCGGTCTGCCACTGTCGTTCCATGCCCAGCCACCATCTCAGTTATTTCCAAGATATTCTCATGGGCTAGTTATCTAAAAACATTTTCCAAACTATAAAGTGCCACAAAATGTTAGTCAATATACTAATTCACCCATTTCTGTGAGGACAGAATGATTAATACCTGTACGGTTTCCAGTTTACAAGTATTTTTTCATGCACATTGTCTGTTTTAGTCCTTGTGGCAGCTAGCTGAGATAGAGATTCTTATTTTACAGCTAGGAAAACTAAGATTTATAGGTAATTAAATAAATTAAATAATTTTCACAAGATGACACAGCCAGGATTCACTCGCGTCCCTGTCAGCATCCAGCTCTGTGTCCCGGCCCTCTGACATGCTTGCCAAGCGTGTGGCCGCGGCAGGCCACCCGGCGGCCAGTGCGTCAGCACACGCAGACCAGCGCCCTGGCCTTGGGCAGCATTTCTGCCCCTTCACACCGTTAGTGGGGCCTGGACTCCCAGCAGGGAGGGCGTGGACGGGAATGTGCATTTTTCAGAACTTTTCAATAGTAGAGTTGCTTTCGCCCTTGCACTGCTTAGAAACAAAACCCTGGGGTGTTTTCCTCAGCATCCCAGGGAAAGACTGATGTCCACTGCATGAGGAGGCGTGGAGACGGGCTGGGGAGGTGCTGGCCGTGCAGAGCGGCTGGAGCCGAGTGTGTCACACGGGCTAGCACCTGCATCTAGTTCCATCAGAAGCCAAAAGAGGGCCCAGATCCAACCTTCACTTCCTAGGGGCTGCCTGGGCAGATTGCTGTCCTTAGCCACCCCTCTCTCACCGCCCCGTTCTGCATCTATGTCTCCTCGCAGCCGTGCAGCCGTCACCACCACGGTGACATCACACAGGCACGAGTGCCTCTGGCACCCACACTGCCTCCAGCGCCAGCACAGGCCTCCTCTCCTAGCCCTCCCGATGCCTTTGCACTCGGGCATTATGGCCGCGGCACCGCTGGGGCCGCCGGGTTGCTCTGAAAGAGGACTAGGAAAGCCTTCCTGCCCCGCTGCTTCCCTCCCTGCTCCAAGAAGGAGTCGCCTATTCTTAAGCAACCAAAAGGGGCAGCAGCAGAAGCAGTGGCCTTTGACCTTTTGTCCTTTTTGTGCGAGGGAAGAGCTGGGAGGGATGAGGTGCTGTGTTGAGAAGAGTCCCGGCCCACAGAATGGCAAAGAGCAGGCGGGGTCAGGCCAAGTCTGGGCTGGGCTCTTGGCTCTCTTGGCACTGATGGCTCCTCCCTGAGCCCCTCCCCCGCAGTGGATCATCTTACTGTGACCCTGCCGAGGGCAGGCTGGCCAAGAGGGTTGTGTGCTTCTCCAGACAGAATGATGACAATACCCACTTCCCATGGCTTCTGCAGAGACTGATGCTTGGCTCACTCAATGCTGTTTTCCCTCCTCCACTTCCTCTTGTATAGACGGCGTTTCCAGGATTGACTACATTGCGACAAAAACTATACTTTCTGGGCCTTCCATTTTTGGGAGCTGGAGAGGGGGAGAGGAGTCCAGGCTCCAGATGCCTGATCAGCCCCTCTGTTCTTTCTCCCTGCACGCAGGGGGCCGCCTGGACCAGCTTGCCTGCACCCTCCCCAAGGAGCTGAGGGGGAAGGACATGCGCACGGTCCCCATGGAGATGTTCAACTACTGCTCCCAGCTGGAGGACGAGAGTAGCTCGGCCGGGCTGGGTATTCCTGGGCCACCCTGCACCAAGGCCAGCCCGGAGCCTGCCAAGCCCAAGCTCGGGGCCGAGCCGGAGCCGGAGACCAGCACGGCCTGCCCCCAGAAGCAGCGGTACCGGCCAGCGAGTGTGAGGCGCGCCATCGGCACGGTGGTCATCGCGGGGGTGGTGTGTGGCATCGTCTGCATCATGATGGTGGCGGCCGCTGCCTATGGTTGCATCTACGCCTCCCTCATGGCCAGGTACCACCGCGAGCTCAAGAGGCGCCAGCCCCTGGTGGGGCGCCCCGAGGGTGAGCATGAGGGCCAGAAGCAGGTCTCTTCTGTGGCCTGAGCCCTGCCCACTGGTCCAGGTGGGAGAAGGGAGGGAGAGCGCGGGCTTGCCCTGGGGGCCGCCCTCCCCTCCGTGCAGCCCCCTCACTCCAAGGCTGCTGCCGCCCCAGTCCCACCCTCCTCCTGCCCCCAGCGGAGGAGCCACAGTGTGGCCCTGGAACCTCCAAGTCTCCCCAGAGCTGTGTCGTGCCAAGGCCCTGCTGACGCTCCTCTTTGGGGAGCCGGGGGAGGTCCCCAGCCTCTGGCCCCAGAAGGAAAGGTTGTCGTGTGGCAGGAGGGTCTGGACCACGCACCCTCTCACCCTCTTCCTGGGGCAGTCACGGCAGGTGGTCACCCTGTCCCCCACTCAACCCCACCCCATCCACACTTAGCGGGTGGGGAGGGAGCCACTCTGAGACTCTCTCCTAAGCCAGAAAGATATGCTTAAGCCCCTTGCAGTGTGAAAGCTGGGGTTCCAAAGTGCACACACCCCTGTCCCTGGACCCAGCACCCAGAGTACAGTGCCGAGAGCCTCGCATGCTCCCTGGGCTGCCACCACATCCCTGGCCTGCCCCAGACCACACCGACCTGCCCTCCTGGATTAGCTGCCTCGCTCACACACTCTCACAGCGTCACAGCACGCCACACGATGGACAGCTCGCACACACCCTCCCAGATGGACAGCTCGCACACACCCTCCCAGAGACGGGGCCTTGAGAACCTGGGCGGTAGGGACAGGCTCTTCTCCTCGGCTCTCTGGCCCTGAGGCCACGGACCCTCATGTCCTCACGCTTCCCACAATCTTCTCAAGTCAACACCGATAACACAAGGATCCTCTGAGATCCTCTAAAGTGGGCCAAAGCGGTGCTGCCGGATGAGACTTCCCGTCACCATGGTAACCCACTCACACCTCTGCTGCTGGGTTTTCTGGGAACATCGGCCCAGGGGCTAGGAAGCGGCTGTGTGTGTGGACACAGCCTCCTGAGAGCCCCGCCTCATGCCAGGGTGTTGCCTTTGTCTTGCCTAAGTACGCCGTGGCCGCCAGGCCCCGTGGGGACACACTGACTGCACGCCTGTGCCCTGCAGCCTGGCACTGTTACTCTCCACCCCTCACCCCTCCTTCCTCAGCGTCTTTGGGACTGTGTCCTTGGATTCAGGCTGGACAGTGCTCTGTGGTGGGCAGCACCCCTTGGGATGGTGCACATGGCAGGCAGAGAGCACAGTGGCTCTCTCTGAGGCTCGCTGCCAGCTGACATGTCTCAAACAGACTCCAGGATCAGGAAGCAGATGCCACATGCTCTGCAGAGGCTTAACCCATGGGGCCTCCTGCCTCAGGGTTTGTCTGCCCAGTCTGCTCCCAGACAGTGGGCCAGGGGTCCTGTCTGGGACAGGGACACCTGGCTCCAGGGCTGTGCAGGTTTCTCAGGGTCACTAGTCTCCTATTCTGGCCCTGCCCCTCTGGGAGAGCCCGCCGTTGGGTAGGCACTGAGGTCTCCTCATGCTCAGAGAGCGTCGGGAAGCCCTGGGCTCATTTCTGGCTCCCAGAGGCGGTCTTGGGTGGCTTGGGAGGAGGCCAGCCAGATTGCTGAAGCCAAGGGCTGCAGACGGGGTTAGCAATCCCAGCCCCCCTTGCCCCCTTCCTCCCCACAGGCAGGGGGTGGGCAGGCTGGGCCGGGGCCTCTGAGAAGGTCATTTTCCAGCAGGTGGACAGAGACCAGCATAGGCTGCTAATTGGGACCACAAGCCTCCCCCAGGTTGGGGCCACAGTCTTCCTTCTTTTGTCTTGTGGGCAATACCAGATCTGGGGTTTTCTAAAGGGACTGGGGGCGGGGAGGGCATCATCAGTGGTGGTATCTTTAGCCTGAGACAGAAGATTTTTAAAGGCAAAATTATATTTCTGGTTTGTTGTTTCAGAAGACCAATAAAGACTGTATTTTCCTATGTACTTCCTGGTTCCATTGGGTGGGAAGGGGACGTGGGTGCTGGGAGAATTGCTTCCTGCCCCTCACATGCCTAGGCAGCTGAGCAAGGGGCTGGGAGCCCTTACCCCGGGGCACAGAGCTCCATGAGACAGAAGGATGCCTCCTGGCCGGGGCCCAGGGCCTCAGGGTGCCGTGGGGAGAGGAGTGGAGATGGGTTGGGTGAGAATGAAGCTCTGTGGCTGTGGGCAGCAAGCGAGGGGCATGGCAGAGCTGGAATCCTAAATGCACCCACACTTTGGCCTGGCAAGAGGATCCGTGAGCCTCAGGGGGCTCCCAGGGGACAGTGCGGTGGTTTGCGGAGAGGAGGGTGAGCTGGAGAGCCCACCCCAACTCTGCGCGCCGTGGTGCTCACTGCCCTGGCAGCCCGACAGATGGGCTGTGTGGCAGGAAGGCATGCATCTGCCCAGAGGATGTCGCTGCCTGGCGGGAGCGGGAGGGCGCTGGAGGGGCTTCTCTGCCACTGGGTTTCGCCCGCCTGGCAGGGCTGGCGGGGCTGCTGACAGGGAGGAGGAGCCGTGCCACCCAGTGCCGTCTTGCCGTGACTGACTGACTCCAGCTCCAGCAAGCCACACTCTGGGCTCCCGCGTGCCCTGTGTGTGCTCACAGGTAGGCTCTGGGATCAGAGTGGGGGCCGGCAGGGGCATGACGGCGGGGCAGGAGAGTGCGAGGCCTCTGGCTGGCTAGTGCACACCAGGCCTGGGGAAGAGTGGGGCTCACTGCGCAGAGGGACACCCCCTCCAGGGCTGGACGGGTCTCTGGCTGACCGCACCTGGGCTCTGTGGTTCACCAGTCTTCAGAGACTAGGACGGAAGGTTCTCCTGCCCAGGAGCCAGGAGCAAACCCCAGTGGGCTGTGAACCATCAGGGCCTAAGGAGCTCAGCCCCACTCCATGGTGGAGCGGGCTGTCCCCTCCCTGGTGGTGAGGGTAGGGACATTGCCTCCACCAGCCCTAAGAGGGATGGCAGGCCAGACACAGGTCTCCAAGCCCTGCAGAGGCCCAGACCCAGACCAAGCCTCGCCTGCACATCTGAGTTGTGCAGATGCAGGGTTCCCACAGAGAAGCCCGGGGCTGGGGGCTGGGCCCACGCTGAGGCTCGGACGGCAGGAAAGGGTGGCAAAGTGCTGGGAGGGTGCCCATCTGCCGGAGAGACCCTCTGTCGAACACATGATGCTTGACTGTAGGACATGGAGAATTGAAATGGATCCTGATCCAAAAGTTAGATTTCTAGAAATTTTGCATGAGCTGCTGGCAAATCACCTGCTTGGAAATTAAAATGACCATTACTCACCCACCCACCCTTTTTTTTTTTTGAGACAGGGTCTTGCTTTGTCACCTGGGCTAGAGTGCAGTCAGTGTCATCTCAGCTCACTGCGATGTCAAGCTCCTGGGCTGAAGTGCCTCAGCCTCCTGAGTAGCTGGCACTACAGGCACCTGCCACATGCCCTGCTAATTTTTTATATTTTTAGTAGAGATGGGGTCTCTCTCTTGCTCAGGCTGGTCTCGAACCCCTGAGCTCAAAGCCTCCCAGAGTGCTGGGATTACAGGTGTGAGCCACTGCACCCAGCCCCACTCGGCCTTCTGCATGACCCTATGGCGTTATGCACAGTGGTGACACATGGCACACAGCTGCCCTGCAGCTGGGCCTGTCTCCTCCCTGTGCTCCTTGCTGGGCACACAAATAGCACACATGCAGCCCCACCTCAGACACTGCACTCCCCTAGCCTGGTGTTCACATGCACACAGTGCCACTGTTTCCAGGCACACAAACAAGACTGTGTTACCTCCTTGAGCTACAGGCCCTATCTGGCCCCAGGGTCAGGGTGGCTGAGCCACAGGCCAGGCAGAGGAAATTGCTAGGGAGGCCAAGAGAAGCAGAGTAATTGAAGTGTTCGGTCTCCAGTGCCCCATCCTTTTCCCCTCGCATCCATCACCCTGGAGCGTAAGAGTGATTGTCTGCAGTGAGTTAAACCGGAGGCATGAGGACACAGTTTCTATGGCAACTCCTCTCAGCTCTAATTCAGCTTCGAGTTAAAAATGATATCAAATAATTGGAGAGTGCAGGAAAGCACAGCCAGCAGCCTGACCCGCTCCTGTCCCTTCTCTCTAGACCTTCAGATGTACAGGCGCTGAGAAGGCCCACACCACAGGGAGCAGGACAGTCACGGTGGGGACCCCAGGAGCTCTGCAGGGAGATGAGTTTGGGGTCAAAGTTTGGCTTGGAAACGGTGTGGGGTTAGCATGCCTTGGACTAAGGGCACAAGGCAGCTGGGGTGGCACGGGTCCCTCTGAATGCTGCGCCGGCTGTGTCTGCAGACGTCCAGGGATGCAAGCGTGCTGCCAGGTGGCCGAGCAGCATCAGAGAGAGCCTTTGCCCCGACCCCAGATGGCCAGCAGCCGGCTCAGGTGGCCCTGGGGCCCTCTCTGAGGCAGAGGACAGAGGCCAGCTGGCTCTTTCATCCCATTCGCCCTGAATTCAGCCTGGGGAGGAGGCGCACTGACCCTGCCCACCCCACCCCCGCCCAGCTCACCCGGCCAGCGTGCCTGAGAGCCGGTCCACAGAGCCAGCACTGCAGAGCCTGGGTGCTCCCCGGACCACACGCTTTTCAGAGCACAGATGGGGCTGGGACACGGAAACTGAAACCAAGGTAAGGAGGGCTTCATCACAGGGCCTGACAACTAGGCAGAGACACCAAGGACTTTTAGGCACCGAGAAACAACAGTCAGGGAAGGCCCAGGGCAGCTCACTGCTCTCATCACACCAGTCCAGGCGATGCGGCGCGGGCGGGCGGCCTGCCTCTAGACCGCTAGCTGTGGGACCTTGGGCAAATAGCTTTGCTGCGTCTCAGTTTCCTCGTCTGTCAAGTGGGTTACCCTGAGGACTGAAGGAGGATGCACACGGGGCCGTACTTCGGGGGTCTGTGCCACAAGCCCTGCTCCCTCCTGAGGGGGCCGGCAGAGCCCAAGGCGACAGGAGAGGGAGCAGAGAGCTGCGAGCAGGTCTGGCCGCAGCCTCCGTCCTCTGCGGCCCTGAGCAGACCTCTCTGGGTTTCATTTCACTTGCTTCATGGATTCTTTTAGATATAAGGTTTTATGGGTTTATAAACAAAATGACTTAGGAAGATTCGACTCCCCTCATCCCCACATTTCACCTGGGGAAACTCACAGCCAGGGGACCGTGGCCTGGCGGGCCGTGTGGGGTCCTCCTGCTGTTACCGCGTGCCTGTTCCTGACAGTGGCCCACAGTCTCCTGCCCTTGGCGGCACAAGGGGCGGCTCCTACCTGCGGCAATGGCTGTCTTCTTGTCCACTGTCACCGCGACAGCTGTGCTCGCCGTCACCACCACCGGCTCATCCGGACTTTCTGGGGAAGCAGAGATGACCGGGTCACCTTCTCAGCATGGGGAGGAGCAGCACCTGGGTGTCCCTACCACTGTCTCGGAGCAGGAGACACACGCACAGAGCGGGCGCAGCCAGCCTCACGTGCCTGGGGTGCTGTGTGTGGAGTGGCTGCGGCGGTGAATGTCAGACGCTGCCCACCTCCCGTGTGGACCTGAACTTGCCGGACACACGTGTCCCCATGACGCTGGGGTGTTTGCCTGCTGTGGCCCATTCTCCCAGCATGTGCCCAGAAGGTTCTTTCCAGTTAGGGTTAGGGTTAGGCTGCACTTCAGGACTGGCAGTGCGTGTCCTTGGCTGGCCTTTGCGAGCAGGCACAACTTAGAGGGACACTGACAGGCTGAGCAGCACAAAGGCTGATGGCATTTCATCCGCTGCAGCTTTGCGTAAGTCCTGGGTGCTAGTGGCTGACCCACCGGCCTGGCTTGCTTCACAGCTGGTTGCCGCATTTCTGGGACATTCGGCCCCGCTTTCAAGGCCAGAGGGCATGCTTTGAGCTGCCCTTTTCACTTCTTTTAGAAGAATCAGCCACCCTAGGTGCAGAATTTAAGGCAGTTTCAGCTGGACATTGAGCTGCCTGGCTCTGAGGTGGGCAGGCTGCCACATGACCTCAGGCTTCCTAAATCTCTTTGGTCCCTGGCTCTGAAGATGTCTCCTTTGCAAAGCACTTCTGTGTGCAGGCCGAATTCCATCATTAAAACTTCCAAGAAAGGGGCAAACTTTTACAATGTGCTCTCATATTTTGTCAGAAAGTCTTGATATCAAATTCGGCATGAAGAAAACAGGTCACGAAGTCTTGTGTGGACCCTGTTAGCGTGACCGCATCAGCTGTAACAGGGCTTACCCGCCGGCTTCTCGCAACTGCTACATGGCCAAGATCACCTGCCACACCTGCTGTCATCGGCTACCTCGCTGACATCTAAACCTACCTTCGGATTCTAGGACTCATAATACGTAAAGTTGTCCTTGATTCTAGGAGTTTTCTACGACAAAGTCTAAGGGAACAAAATAGACATAGAAATTGGCTTCCCCACCTTCTTCCAGAAACATCTAGAGGACAGTGGCAGGGCTGAGCCCTGCAGCCTGCTTTCCAGGACAGACTTTCCGTGTGTGGCTCTGGCCAGCATGGGCTCGCAGGAGGCCCACGTGTGGGTGTGGAGCCCTAATGGTGGAGTCCCTGGGGACACTGGGAATTTCGGCTCTGGGTCGCTGCAGCCACCTGGCCCTGTACCGGGCTCAGCAGGCAGGGCGCCACGTGCTGGTGGGCGGGGCCCTGGCTGGCCCAGGGAGAGGTGGGCTGCAGAAGGGGGCTGACAGGCCTCAGCCACCCGGGTCTTGGCGAGACTGCTGCGCGCTGGCAGGCTTCCCAGGCACCAACTGCAAAAGACGGCTCCATGTGGGCAGGACTCAGCCCACCAGGCTGCAGGCAAAGGGCTGTGGTGACAGCCTGGGACACGCCCCAGCTGTCCCCAGAGGGCACCCTGGGCTGGCTCCTCCCCTTCTTCTCAGAAGCTGCAGGTCCCCCCACACCACACATTAAAATGAAATTATTGTTGTTTTCTTTCTTCTGGGGTGGATGGGAGGGTGCGGAGGTGCCCGCGTGTCCTAAGTGTGTGCATGCGCCCAGCCAGTGTGCCAGCAGGTGAGGGTGAGCTTCACGCTCCTCAGTGGCCCCTCTCTGGGGTGCCAGCTCCCCTCTCTTCTCCTGGGGCTCAGCTCCCCACCCACCCGCCCTCCTACCTTGCCGCCACATACAGTCCCCAGCAGCTGGCAGCCACAGTCTGGGTGACAATGTGGTGCCAAGGGAACCCATGGTCTAGGCTACAGGCAGGGCCAGGGCCTCACCCCAGGGAACCAGACGTCCCAGGATCCTGGGTGTCCCTCCTTGGGGCTTTTGTGCTGCTACACATGCGGGTGGCCAGGGAGGAAGAGCTGCCTCAGTGTGTGCTGTGAGTGTGGGAAGGGGACTTTCCCCTTGGCTTTCAGAACCTGCCCCAGGGGCTTGCACTGGGAATAAAAATGTCCCCTCCTTTTTCCCTTTCCTGCCTTATGCTTGGTATGGCAACTGAGCCTGGACTTTGGTGGGACAGACCTCGTTCTAGCCTGGCTCTGGAGCTCCCTTGCTGTGTGACCCTGGGCAAGTCATGGAACCTCTCTGAGCCTCAGAGTCTCCCTGTGTAAGTTGCGGAATAAGAAGCCTTATCTCACGGGGTTGTGCAGACTGAACAAGCTATATGCAGAAAACTTTTGGAAAGCGTGTTCATTTGGGTACACGGGTGGGAGGGACAGGCAGAGCCTGGGGAGGCAGGTGTAGCTAGCACAAGGTGAGGAAAGCTTCCAGCGGGCACAGAGGTGGAGCTCCTGCCTGCTGTCTGCCTTCCCCGTCCTTGTCCCAGGAGGAGCCCTGGAGCCTGAGCCAGGGCGTTTCTCCATCTTGAGTCTTGAGACGGTTTTGGGGCAGTGGTGGCTGGACGGCCTTTGGGAGAAGGGCACCTTGAAGGGGAGGTTCCAAGTTGACCACCAGCCCATGGCCCTCCTGTCACACATCTCGCCCCACCACCTCTGGCAGCTCATGCCCCGCAGGTGGGTTCTCTCCAGGGCCCTTGGTCCACTGGGCGGCATCAGCTCCCCAGTGGAGTCCTGGGCCCCTGGGCAGGCTCCTCCACTCCCAGAGTCTCTTCAAGGGCAACGCTATGCGGGCACTAAGTCCCTCTCAGGTCTAAACATTTTGTGATTTTCCTGGTGCTCTGTTAAAGCCACTTAATTTTTCATTTTTGGGCTATTTTGCAGAGTGGAGCTGGGGTTGGGTGCTGGGCGCCGGCCAGCTCTGAGAGTGTCCTGGTCCTTGGCCTTGTCGGGTTTGCTGACGGCGCATCTGGTGCCTCCACGCACCCTGGGAGGCTCCCTCCCGCCAGCAGAGAAGCTCCTCAAGGGCTGCTGGGTGCTCCCTGTGGCTGCTCCCGGTGACCATGGGGAGGGGGCCAGGCTGCTTTCCCTGTTTGTGAAGAGCATGTGGCCTGCTGGCCGGGAAGCCCGGCAGCCCTCTGACGCAGCGCTCTGCCACTGCCATCCGGAACTTCTTGTTCACGGAACTTTCTCCGCCACACAGACATGTGGAAGTAGAAGACCCTTAGAGAGCAACTCTTCCCGCACCCTCGCATTTGGAGTTCGGGCCGCAACAGCCCTCCTAACTTGCAGTGAGCCCCTTTCCTTTACCCTGTGCTGGAGAGGGAAGCGCCTGCTGTGCCCCTGGCTGGGGTCCAACAGCCACCCACAGCCAGCACGTGGGGCCTGGGCGTGGGGAGGCGGGACGGAGCCTTCTCAGGCCTCAAGTGTCGGGAGGGAAGGAAGGGAGAGAGCCCGGGAGGTCTGGGCCTCTGTTCCACATCCCACCCGCTTCCCCCGGAGAGCACAGCAGCACGGGGAGGTTCTGATCCCGCCCCCAGCCCCGGAGCAAGGGCTGTGGGTTACCTGGGCCCTCTGCAAAGCGGAGGTTGAAGACAAAGCTGCCGGCCGGCTGCTCACAGGCCTGGCGGTACCACAGCGGGAAACGGTCCAGCGTGAACACACTGGCCTCGTCTGCAGGCGTCAGGAACTTCCTGCAAGGAGGAAGACTTGGTACCTCCCCCACACCTGGGAACACAGCCATCCCTTCTTCCTTGTTCTTCACAAGACCACCTTGCCCAGGCCAAGAGAGCACTCCCTCTGCTTTGGCAGAGTTGCAGACAGATGACAGACAGAAACACTAGCCCAAAATTGGTAGCACCCCAGACAATGTTCCCCACCAATTCCTGACTCTTCCAGGATCAAAATGATGCTGCACCTGATGGCACATGAGCAGCTGGGAGAGGTGCAGGGTCCGTGTTATGAAGGTGTACTTTCCACTTTTATGCAGACTCTGTTGTCTGCAGGATTTATTTCCTTTGGATGTAGCCTAAATTATTTTTGTCTGGCTCGTTGGCATGTCTGAGGGCGGCAATTGTACAGTCAAGGCGATCAGGCTCTAATAGAGGGGCATGAATTCCCCCAAATAGCTCCTTGGAAAGGACTGCCGCTAAGGCTTTTGAAGGCATCGTGAGTTCCCTTTGTCAAGCAGCTCTACCTTCCTAATTATGGTTTTGTGTTCCCTGCACACGGCAGCCCACGGGAGGAGTGTGTGTCCAAAAGCAGAGTGGGGGGAGGGGCGGGGACCTGCAGCGCTGCCGTGGGCAATCCACACAGTGAGTACCTGGGGGTGGTTTGGGAGTGATGGGCCCACATGCCCACAGGCGCCTGCCTTTCTGCACGGCACTGGGCTGTCACTGGGCTGCTGCTCCCACAAGGCCAGGTTGCAGGGAGCCCTCTGGGAGAGCTCACAGGAGCAGAGGCGCTCTGCCACCTCGGAAGGGCTGTCTGTGTTGAGAGCTCCTTCTTTCATTCTCAGAGGCCTTTTAGAGGGGCTGGGGGAGCACTGTCGAGGCAGCAGCTAGCTCTCCCCTCCACCTCCCGAGTGAGCGGAGGGAGGAGGACCGGGAGGAGGGGGAGAGGGAAGACCAACTTAATTTGTTTTCCTAGAAAGCCTCAGCTTTGCTTAGCAAGTGTAGATTTGTCACAGAGTCCTGGAAGGAGCTCAAAGATGGCGCTCCGTGGCTGAGTGTGCTTGGATTTAGCAAGAGGAGCAGTCGGCCGGTGGGAGGCAATGACAGGGTGGTCAAGGCTGCCCAGTGGCCCTCAGCTGTTTTCGTCTCCAGGTTTGAGGAGGGGCAGGTGGCATTGCTCCCCTCAGCTCCTCCTCTGGGCCCCTGATTCTCCCGGAATCCTGCCTTTGCTTAGAGCAGGTTTCGTGGCCTGGGCACCGGCGACGTGGCCGGCCGGGCAACCACAGCGCACAGCGCACCTGGACTCTGCCTACGAGATGCTGGCAGCAGCCTCTCCAGTTCCCCCACTGTGGCAGTCAAAAACGTCCCCAGACATTGCCAAATGCCACCCAGGAGGGGGAAATCACCCCAGTGGAGCCTTTCTGCTTGGACTCTTAAGCCTCCCGTGCCCCCCAGCAAGCGGAGCTAGGACCCCGCCAGAGGAGGCGAGCGCCTGCAACCTCCCCCATGGCGAGGCGGTGCCAGCAGGGGTGCTGCTGAGGTGGGCTCTCCATGGGCAGGCTCCAGGGGCAGCCCCTTGCTCCCCAGGGGCAGAGAAGTGTCTGCAGAGAAGGGGGCACAGCCAGAAGACTTAGCCTGTCAAGGAGAGACGAGTCCCAGAGAGGAAAGCAATTCAGGGTTCCCCTCTTATAGGCTCCCCTAAGTGGAATCTCTGACCGACCCCAACTTCAAAGCCTTTCTCCTCCCTGACTGCCCACGCACTGTCCTCTCCGGGGACGCCTCCAGGATGTGTGCGAGCCTGGTGGAAGGGTGACCTTTCTCACTCTGCCAGCTGCAAAGCCCCACCCTCTGCCCCCACTGGGCTCCCAGGGGCTGAGCGAGCTGGAGACCGAGTCTCAGTCCGCCCACTGCCCTTGAACCCGCCTAAGGGCTGTCCTCTCCGCTCCGCAGGGTTCCCTCCCAGGGTGGCCAGCAGGACTCACCTGTCGGAGAGCTTCTCGGAGCCCACAAACAAGCTGCTTCTCAGGAGGCCAGCCCGGGTGCCCAGGAAGGCCATGTCCACCGCACACTCGGTCTCACTGCGGGACAGACAAGCGGGAGTGGTCGCCACGTGGACGCAGCGCAGCAGGCACCCGCACATGGGGGCCTGCAGGGCTTTCTGGGCCTCTCCCAGCTGGCACCCACCCTGGCTCAGGGGAGGCTTTCCTGGAGGGCTGAGTTCTGGGGGTCACACCATCTGCTGGCTGCAGAGCATGTCGTGTCGGGTGCCGGCGTCCGGCAGCACCGCCCTGGCTGAGTGGACACCCCAGGCCAGCCTCTGCTTTGTCAGATCTGGCTCCTAACTTGTGCCCCTGGGGTTGGGTCTGGAAGACAGAAGGAACTCAGGAAGGAGAGTCCGTCCTGGGACCAAGGATTGGAACGTCTGACCAGCAAGCCCCTCACAGTTTTGAGCCCTTCCCACATAGCTCCCTGGGCACTGAAATGAGAGGCGCTGCCCACATCCGCCTGGGAGACGCCCTGGGGCTGCGAACCCTGCTGATGAGACAGATCTACCAGCCGCTGCAGCGCCACTGACCCCCCCCAGTCTCCAAGCTGAAAGCCACGGCGACGGCACCAGGGTGGGATGTCGCCCCTTCTAACTCTGGCACCATCGTGTTCCTGGCCTGGTTTACTGGAGGCCATGACTTAACTCCTCCCAGTGCCTGGGCCTGTGGGCTGGGGCGGGCAGACGAGGTGGGTGGCCCCAAGCCCCGGCCAGGGAAAGGCTGCATCTCCTCAGGCTCAGAGCGAGGCTGTCGGAGCCCTCAGGGGTGGGAGGCACAAGTGGCACGCACAGCGTCTGTGGACAGGCAGGAACTGGATTAAAGTCCAGGCCGAGGCCTGGAAAGTCCCCGAGGAGAGTGTCCGGAGACTGAGACAGGCTTCCAGCCCGTCTGCGGACAGGCGGCCGCACAGCGCGCCAGGACCGTGCAGACTTGCGCACCACGGACACCAGAGCCCCGCCACGGAACCACCGAGTCAGGCCCTCTGGGCTGGGGCCTGCCCTCCTGCGCTTCACTAAAGAGCTCCTGACCCAACTGTCTGCTCAGCAGTCGGGACAGGCTCACCGGCACCCCACCACAGCTCAGCTGGACAGCTGCCCGCCCACCGCCAGGCCTGGCTTGTCTGCGGCCCCCTCCAGCCCCTCAGCTAGATTGCTTTGAAGCAAATCCCAGATATTTCATGGGTAAATTTTGAAATTTTAATTTGTGTCATTAAAATATAAGGAATTTTTTAAAAAAAATACCTCTAGCCACTATCACACCTTTAACCCCCCTCCATTCCTTAATATCATCAGATAATCCAATTGCCTTATGAATTTTTTAAGTTTGGTTGAATCAGAGTCTAACTAAAGTCCATGCTTTGCAACTGGTTGCTATTAGTAACTCTTTTGTCTGTCTCTCTCTCTATGTGTGTCTTTATTGATATATCATTCACACACCATACAATTCACTCACCTAAAGTGTAAAATGCAATGGTTTTTAGTATCGTCACAGAGTTGTACAACCATCACCACTGTGAATTGCAAAACATTTTCACCACCCCCAAAAGAATTCCCTAACTGTTAACAGTCATCTTCGATATTTCTAACCTGATTTCCTCTCTCTACCCACTCTCCCTCTCCCTTTCTCTTTTCCCAGCAGCTGACTTCCTGTCAAATTAGGTCATTTGTCTGAGGACTTTCACGTGTCTGGATTTGGCTACTGCAGTGCTGTGGTGTCACTCAGCAGGCTCTCCCAGCCCCAGGTTTCTTGCAGCTGCCAGTCAGCCCCGGGTCCTGCCCAGGGTCAGCGTTGCATTTTCATAGACATGTGTCTCAGCAAGTCACACACTATCTGATTGATTAGAGGTTGCAAAATAGGTTTATTCCTTTATTTCTTCTTTATTTTATTTTCACTTGAAATACTTGCATAAATAAAAACCTCTCCTCATCAATGTTTGGTTATCCTGAGATACAATTTGTACCATTGATTCTTTTTGTTTCTTTACCAGTTTTTAGAATAATGCATTGTTTTCTTAACATCTTCCAAAATGACCAATGAAGTTTTTTTCCCAGTACCATTATGAACTCAAAGGTTTTTAAAAACATATTTCATGTGTTTTAACCAATTGCAGTTATTGCAACTTTTGCTGCTCTGATCGTCCCACCTTTGGCCAGTGAGAGGTTCTTTAAGTTGGCCCTGGGGTGATCCCTTTGGCAGTCTCATTAGTCTTTGGTAGCTTCTAGCTTCCTGGGATGACAAGACGTTTCAGGCTTATTCTGTGCATGTTCCACCCCTGTGAGGGAACCAGACATTTCTCCAAGGAGCACGGGCTCATTTGGACGAGGACCTCGCATGGAGAGCCACAGTCCAGGCCCGGCACGTTCACTGAGGTTGATCCTCCCAGTGGAGAGAGCTAGGGTGATCTTTATATTTCTTTTAGAGAAAATACATCATGAGTTCAAATTGATATTTCCAATTCAAATTCAGAATTAAATCCAAATTTCTTTGATTCTTGAAATTTGCATCGCTTTTCTCTTTTGCTGAAAATCTTGGTTCCTAATGACATTAACCTAGTCCCATTTGCTCTGTCTGTTCAGAATAACAATGCCAGCATTATTTCTAGCAATGTGAGTGCTGAGCACAGTCTTAAGGTTTTATTTATTTAATATTTACAGTTCTAAAGCTCCCTAAAGAATTCCCGTATGTATGGTTATTTCAGAAATTTGATAAACAGCCAGGCTTATTTGTTTCATTTGCTTTCACTTTTTTAGAGGTTGCTTTAAAAATTTAATTTAGTTTTATAACTAGATAAGGCATTTACATGGGTTCAAAGTCACTATTAAAAATAAGACATATTCAGAGGAGTCTGTCTCTGTATATATCTTCTTGTTCCTTCACTCTTCCTATAGGTAACCTTATTTTTGGTTTATTGTTTCATTAAAAAATACATGTGTATATGTGTGCATACAAATATATATGCATATTTATGTGTATGTATGTGTAAATAATTATGAAAATATATTTGTATTTCCTCTTTTTAGATAAATAGTGAGGGTATTAGTCACACTTTTCTTCATTACTGAAGATTATTGTATAGTAACAGTATATACAGATATTTCTAGACTGCATAATATTCTATCATGTGGATCTACCATGGTGCAATTATGCAGGTTGTTTCCAATCTTTTGCTGTTATTAAAGGTACTGTAATGAATGGCTGATATTTTTGCCCTCAAAAATATGTATCTTTGGGATAAGGTCCCGGAAAGGTGATTGCTGGATCAAAGTGTAAATGCAGGCGTCATTCTGGAAGATGCCATCAAGTTCCCTTCATAGGGCTTGAAGCATTTTGCATTCCCACCCACAATATACAGAATGCCTGACTCCCCACAGCTTAGCCAACAGTGCACGCTGACAGAGTTAGATGGTTAGCAATCTCATAGAGGAGAAATCCACTCTGGATATAGTTTTAACTTACATTTAAGACTAAATGCTACGTTGAGGATTTTTCCAAATATTTAAGGACTATTTGCATTTTTCCTCTGTGAACTGTCTTTATCTTTGGACCACTTTCCCTCTAGAGTGGTTGGTCTTTTAAGTCTCTATTTTTGAAGCCCTTTAGTTATCGTAAATATATAATATAGAGAGAGTACCCCTCTATCTGTTTTATAAGTTGCAAACATCTCTCCAGTTTGTTGTTGTTTCTCTTTTTACCTTGCTTGTGTTTTTATTTTTCCCATTTGTTTAATTTATCTGTCATTCCTGTGTTGCTTCTGCATTTTGAGTCATTGTTGGGAAAGATTTCCCCACTCCTAGATTTTAGAGTGATTGGCTCATGTTTTCTTTTAGTATTTTTATACTTTCATCTTTTACATTTGAATCTCTGAGTCATTTGGACTTTATCCAGGTGTATGGTGTGAGAAAAGAACACAATTTTATCATTCTCCATATGGCTTTCAAACAAGTTATTTAAAAATCCATCTTTCCTTCATTGATTTGATGTGAGGCCTCTATCATATACTACATTCCCACATGCGTTTAGACAAATGTCCAGGTCTCCTATTCTGTTCCCTTGGCCAGCCTGCCTTTCCCCACGCCAGTGCCACGCTGGGTGACTCATGTGGCTTTCTCACGTGCTGTCACGCCTTGGTAGGCCCAGCCTCACTTCACGCCTTCTCTGTCAGGTGTTTCTGAGCAATTCTTGCTTGTTCTTCCACATGAACTTGACAATCAATTTCTCTGCATGCAGAAAAATACTCATGACATGGCATTTTTATTGGGGTTGCATTAAATTTATAAATTAACTCCGGAAGGATTAATATCTTTATGATGTTGAATCCTCCTATCCAAAAACACTATCTGTCTTTCCATGTGTTGTAGTCTACTTTTGTGTTTTTCAAGAGTGTTTCAAAATTTTCCTTATATGGGTTTTTGGGCAGTTCTTATAATTTATAAAACTATAGAACATGTTCTTATAGTCTTATAACTTTATCATACTTTGTTTCTTATCCTTCTAAATAAACCTTATCGTATTATACCTTCTGGTTTCTGTTGTCACCTGTTACTTTACTAAATTCTCATATTGGGTATGGTAGTTTCCCCATTAATTCTTTTGGTGTTGCCAGGTATATAATCTTATCATCTTTAAATAGAGACAATTTTGCTTCTCTCCTTCCAGTTCTCATTTCTCTAAGTGCTTTCTCTCATCTCACTGCACGGAAATCTTCTGACCTTCTCAGACAGCAGCAGGGCAAGGCACGCTGTCTGTCCTGGGAGAGCCTCGAGCCCGTGGAGATGTCAGCTTTCAGGTCTAGATCGATCTTAATTTTATGGAGAGGTTTTTAAAAACATGCATGGATATAATATTAATATTTGTTTAAATGCCTTTTCTGCATCTATGGTTATGTAATTTTTCTCCTTAGTTTTACATTATGTCATATTAATTTCCTAGGGAGTCTTTTCTGATGTACACTCTGATTAAGAATATTTGCTTTTCAATGTTTCTCTGCATTAAAAACATCTGTGGTTACCCATGACCTTGTAGAGATGAAGATGACACCCTTCTCTCCAAACCTAGCAGTCCAGCCCTCTGCAGAGGGGTCAGGAGCCTGGCTCTGGGACCAGTGGCTGGGCTGTGATTCTAGCTCTGCTGCCCACAAAGCTGTGGGCTGGGGCAAGGTGCTGGCTGTCACCTGCTTTGGTGTCCTCATCTGTGACAGGGGTGATGACAGCACCTGTGTCAAAGACTGTAGTGAGGACGAGGTGGGTTAATATACCTAGAACTTGCTACTATTTACTACTTAGAACAGTTCCTGGCCCACTGGATTCTTTTTCTTTCTCTCTGTTAGTTTTATTTGATTTTATATAGGTCATATTTTACACGGTTCCAAATCATACCAAAAACTATACAGTGAAAAGTATCCTTTTCCTCCCTGTTTCAGTTACCCATTTTTCTCAGAAACGATCAGGGAGGGCTATTTCCTAGGGAGCATTCCCTAGATATTATGTATAGAGATACACAGGTATAATACGCACACAAACACACAGATGCTGCGTCCATGGTCTCTCACCTATATGGAGGCAGACCGTGCAGAGCATTCCACGTTTTACTTTTTGCAATAGGAGATTGTCCCTATAAAATTCTGTAGATGTTTTTATTAGGATAACATTAACAAACTAATTCAGGGGAGATTTGACATCTTTACAATGTTGAATCTTCCTATTCAGGACCAAGGTGTGGTCCACTATGACCTTAACCTCATTAGTATCTTACACTGCCCTCCACGCTCAAGAGCACATGCATGCATCCACGCTCACAGTCACATGCCGTGCACCCTTCTACCTGGTCACTGAACACGATAGCCCCAGTAAAGACCAGCAAAGGGAGTGAGGAGATCTAAGGGGCTGGGAGACACCGAGGTCAAGTTCACTGGTGTCAAGACCTTATCTGCTGGAAACAAGGCTCTCAGCAGGGCACTTAGGCTAATGGGCTGTCACGGCTAGAGCCCAGCCCAGAAAGAGGGCCTCCCAGAAGGGGGCTGTCCTGGCGTGGGGATTGAGACCTCTGCCCAGGAGACCTAGGCATGGTGTTTTGTGGAGAGGGCAGCAGCCCTCTACTGCGTGTGGAAGCTCTGCCAAGCCCCGCTCCGCTGGGGCTGTGTGGAGGTCGCTCGCCCCCGCCCATGTCTTCCTGCCCTCATCATGGCTCATCTTAGGTCAAGGGATGTGGGAGGAGTCCTGAGCCACCAGCCAGGTGGCAGCAGGTGCCCTTACTCAGCCGAGGGAACCCTGGGTCCCTGGGCGCTGCCTCTGGGAACCCGTGCATACTTGGAGACGTTGAGGGCCAGCGCAGTCCAGTAGGCTTCCATGGGGGCTGTCACCACCGCATCGAACAGCACCTCTCGCACCAGCTCCTCGTCACCTGCGGGCAAAACCAAAGGGGACCAGGCCACGTGCTTCCCCCGTGATTAGGAACACAGCTCACCCGCTCTTCGAAGTCCAGGGAACTTGATGTGTGGACAAGCGGGCACAAGGAGGCTGCCTCCCCTCTGCCTGCCTCCACATCCTCAGCGCCAAAGGGACATGAGTAGAACTGAACAGCACCTCGGGCTCTCTCCAGTTCTGACACTCTGTGAGCCTCGGAGACTCCCTCGGTGACATGGGGCCAGGAGCCGCCCAGCCTGCCTCTCCCGTCTCCACACCTCCGCTGTGCTCGTGGCTGTCAGACACGCTCTCCCGGGTCTGCGGACCCGACTCTGCCATGCTCCCCTCGCCTCGAAGCTGCCACATGCCATTCCCTTGCCCGGGACGCTTTTCCCTGCTCTTTGCATGGGAGGCTCTTGCTTTTCCCTCTTTTTAAAAAAATTATTTATTTTTATTGAGGTGAAATTCACATAACATAAAACTAACCAACTTGAACATGTGATTCAGCGGCATTTAGTACATTTACAATGCTGTGTAGCCACCACCTCTGTCTAGTTTCCATGTGTCTCTGGCAGCCCCAGAGGAGAGCCCAGCAAGCCTCTTGCATCCTTAGCTGCGTGACGCCACTTCTCGGAGGTGGCCTTCCTGGACCAGCCATCTAAAGCAGGCCCCATCCCCACGGCACCCTCGTCAGGGCTTGGTCACGCTCCGCCCTGCCGTCCCGTCCCTGCTGGGCTGTGAGCTCCACGGAGCAGGGGCCTGGGCTGGGTTCTCTTTGAGCCGTCCGCGCCGCCCTGGGGCCTGGCGCGGCAGGGACACACCTCGTACAGATTTGGCGATGGAATTAACGCCTGAACAACTGAGTGCCCAGTGGGCCAGGATGGGAGGCAGAGTCCTCTTGTGAGGGCGACACTTTTGTGATAGGGTGACCTGCCCCTTCACCAGAAAGGAGAGGGAAGGAGCATGCCAGGGTGTGGCCCACTGAGTCACCAGTTGCAGCAGTGCGGGAGAGCGCGTGCCCAGAGGACAAGGCAAGGGCTGTGAGGGCGCCGGCCCCAGGCTCCCCTCTGTGGGGAGGAGGGCTTCAGGTGCAGACCCAGCTGCTTGCCTAGGGGCCACTTCTAGGGGCAGAAGGGACAGAGCTGACAGCCAGGTGGTCCCCTGGGCCTCAGCAAGTCAATAGAGGCTGAAAACGAACTCAGTCCCCAATATGGGGACACGTCTGGTCACCACAATTCCAAGAATGCTTAGATGCCAGCTTGGCCTCGTAGTAAGGCTGGCTCTGCCATTTTCTTTGAGGCTCCCCCTGTCCTCTCTAGGCTGTCCTTGTGCCTCAGGGATAGGGCTACGTGGCATCCTCGCCCCCACCTGGAGCCCCGAGGAGAAACCCACCCCTGCGGGTGGTGGCACTCACACTCCAGGTCTGGGTCCTCCCTGGTGAGGAAACGGACCATGGCCTCCAGCTGGCTGAGCTTCCGGTGGTCCGGGTCGATGTCCGTGGTGCAGTAGATCCTGGAACCCCGGGAGTCAGTGTCACCTTGAGAAACTGCCCCTGCCTCCTCCCATCCTCTCCTCCTCGCTTACCAGTCGCCGGCCAGACTCAGGTCCGGGTGGAGCAGGTCGTGCAGACCTGAAACAGAGACACGCTCGGGGCGACACGCACCCACAGGGGGAGGTGGGCACCGCCTGTGTGGGAGCCACCGCCCAGCAGGCTCATGGCGCTGGGAGGGACAGCCCACTGTTCTTCCTTGCTCTTAGCTCACAGTAGGAACCCGACCAACAGCAGTGCAAGGTCTGCACATGTCCTGCCTGTGTGCACACCTCTCCTGCCTCCAGAAGTGCTTTTTCTTCCTGCTGCTTCAAGCCAAGTCCCACCCACTCTCCAAGGTTCAGGACCCATGCCGCTCCTTCACTGCGCTGCTCACCCGGCCCGGGCTGCCTGTTCCTCCTCCCCGGCTCTCACGGCCCTCCTCCCACTCCAGGCTGGGTTCTGGTTGTCACGGCCACGTCCTCACGCTTCTGCCAGACGGCAGCTCGGCGAGGAAGCCGCGTCCGGCTCTCCTTAGCATCTCCTCTGGAAGGGCTGGTACTTTGCAGCCAGCTCCACTGGCCTCGCTGTACCCAGCTGAGCTAAAGGGGCAGTTGGGGGTGAGTCCCAAGGGGGCCCTGCCTCCAGTCCCCGTGAGCCTCCAGGGCCTTGCCTGGCACACAGCCTGCCCTGATGTGCTCGGCTGGTGCCGTGGATTGGATGAGTGGGGAAGAGGTGTCCCTCTGGCACCTCCTCAGAGCTCAGGAGTAAGGACGTGCTCAGTCAAGGCCTTGCTAAGTTGTAGGGAAAGATGACGGAGAGGCCAGCGGGGCATCTGTGAAGCCTTGAAGGGCCACTGCTCTGACACAGGCACAAGGCCGGGGGCAGAAGGGGAGCTCCTTTCCCCAGAGAAGCCCAGTGACTGCGGAGGCATGGCCTTTCTGACATCTGATTTCAGGCTTCTAGCCTTCTGCTGTAAGCTACCAAGTTTGCTGTGTCTTGTTATGGCAGCCCTAGCAAACGAGCTTTGCCCCTCGCTCTGAGTGGCTCAGGGAAGCTGCCACACAGGCTCTGCCCAGGGCCCCAGGAGAACCCACGTTTCCGCCAGGCTGCCCAGCACCGTGCAGCACCAACCCACCTTCTTCCACAGACGTGTCCCCCAGGAGCATGTACTCCCCGTGGCCCCGGGACAGCACCACTCCCAAGCTGCAGCAGGAGGAGAAAGCACACTCAGGACACCCGGCCCTTCCTGCCCTTCGTCAGCTCTGTGTGCTGTCCCCACGCTTGCCCTGGCCTCGCTGTTCCCTCCAGAACTCAGGCAGCATTCTGTCTTGTCATCAGCTTCCCTCCTGGGAAGGACCTGGAAATCCCAAGACTGAGGGCCCTCTGCGCACCTGTTTTCCTCAGGGCACATCCCAAAGGATGAGGAGGTCTCTGTGCCTCACAGGCACCCCCAGCAGGAGACTGCCCCTCCCCTGGCTCCTGCCGCACCTTCCTCTCCTAGGGAGCATCAGTTTTGAGCCTGGACTGAATACCTGAACCATACAGCGGACTTTAAAAAGACCAGGGCTTGGGCTCCACCTCCAGAAATTCTGATCAAATTGGTTGTGTGAGGCCTGGGCACTGGGAGTTTTACAAAATTCCTCAGCTGCTCTGAGGAGTGCTCAGGTCCAGGGACCAGGGCCATATGGAGAAATGCGGCGGTCGAGAGGTAGGGACCCTTTGTTTCCTTGTCTGTGTGGCGCCTCGAGTCAGATATCTGTACAGTTGGACAGAACCTAAGAGATCTTCAAGTTCGATCCTTTCATCTTTTAAGAAGCCACTACTTTAACATTTTTGAATGGACGATGTCATGTAATGCTCACAACACCACCAAGAAGTAGCTACTACCGTTAGCCCCGTTGTGCAGAGGAGACATCCACCGCAGGGAGAGGCCACGTAACTTGACAGAGGTCACACAGCCTGTGAGTGGCAGAGTTGGGGTGCAAATCCAAGCAGTGTGGCTGCAGAACCTGCACACTCGGCTACACTGGCAAAGCTGGTCTACACCTAGCGTCCTGAATGCTGACCTGGGTCTTTTGCGGTTACCACAAAATTGCCAGCTAAATATGAGTTGTTGGTATTCACAATCCACACACCTGTTCCCACTGCAAATAAAGCACAGGTCCCTCACCTGAATGGTGTGTCACTGATGTCTGTGAAGAAGTAGTCATTGGTCAGGAAAAGAACTCGCTTCTGAAAGAGCAGACAAGGCAAAAGTGCTTGTGGAGAGAAGAATGGCTGCCCCCCACCCCAGCACCCTTGGAGTTTTCACAACCTCTGTGTGTCTTCCCCTCCCTGACCTGAGGCCACACACCCCATCCTATTGACATCATGGGCAGATCACTGCAAGGGCCAGCAAGCCACAGCCTTTTGCTAGTGGCCTGGATTTAAGGACCAAGGTCTGCCCATCATGGTGGACCCTAGCCACGTGCAGAATGGAGCACTTGAAATGTGCTACCAAGGAACTGGATTTTCAAATTTTAGTTAATTTTAGTTCACATAAATTTAGACAGTCAATGTGGCTAGTGGCTACCATGCTTGGCAGTACAGGTGTAGAATGGTGACTACAGGGTTCCCAGGGGGCCGGAGAGGAGGCTATCGGTTAGTGTCCAAATGAAGCCCGTGTGTACACAATCTGCTGACAGCCTCCCAGCCCTCAAAGATAGCCAAGGGAGAGTGGGGCACCACTGTGACTATAGGGGACTGACATATATTTTCCTAGTTTAAGAATTAAATTTAGTGAGTAATATACGTGCTCTGCCCAGAGTGTTTGAAAGTAATGTGTTCCAGACTAGGTCCTTGTGATAAACAAGGCTGTTGCCTAGAGGCATAACAAAGGACCTGAGCTGCAAGTAAGCAAGAGCTGCCCAGCCCCATGGCAATGGGGGTCTGGAGGCCACACGATAAATACATTGTTCCTGTGATTGCTGCTTAAACCCCATAAGATGGCTGGTTAGTCAATGACGGGTAAGATCCCTCAAGAATAGGGGCGACCTAAGCCAGGCACAGCCACCAGGGATCAGCCTAAGATCTTAGGGGTCACCCTAAGAGAAGCTGGGGATGAGAAATGCCCCCTGTGGCTACCTTGTTCATCCTTGCTAATCTCTGTCCGTGATCTATACCTGGTGCCTAGAGCAACCACCTAAAAATTCTGAGCCAGGGGATATCTGCTTCCCTAAGGCTACGCATTCTGAAATTTATGGGCATTGATAAAATGCCTGGGTGGTTATGTACAAGGAACTAACTTTAATTTTTTAGAGTATAAAAATAAAACTGACCCGGAGTATTATTACTCCAGTCAACCGTCTGTATGTGTGTCCGCGTTTTTCTTTGTGTTCTGCGTTTATGTTTTGTGTTCTGTGTTCATAATCCATCCTGTAAACGGGCAACACACCCGTTACAACTTCTTTTTCCTTTCAAAGCTGCCATCTTTCAAGCTCCAGTTTGATCACTGCAAATCAGGGCATCAGACAGTGCACCAAGTGGCTAAGGACATGGCCAGGCTCAGACAACCCGGATGAAAGCCCAGCTGAGCTGCTTCCAGGTTGTGTGATCTTGGGCAAATGACTTCACTTTTCTAGGCACTGTTTTATCTCGTGGAATCAGGACTAACAGTAGTCTCTCCCTCCCATAAGGCCACTGTGAGAGTGTGTTCTGGGCTCCAAAGTTCTGTGGATTGTCCTACCCATTGATGAAAGCTTATGTCGCTGGGAAAGCCACAGTTTGTCACTGTCTCAGGACCTACTCTTGTTCCCTTCACGTCTTTCTGACTTTTCATTTTGGAAATTGGAGTGAGATGTTGGAAGGAACACACAGAGAGAGGATGGTGCAAAAAAAAAAAAAAAAAGGCTTTCTTTCTCTAGGAAACTGGCTTTAGGTCAAACCACTGTCCTAAAAACTGGGCTCCTCCTCTAACACTGCCCTTCTGCCTCCTCTGCCAGAGCCTCCCTGCGGTTTCCCCATCACAGCAGTCTTGGGCACCCTGGGACACATCTGGGGAGACGGGAGCCCCTGTGCCCCAAGGTAGGGCTGGCTGGAGTGTCAGAACTGTAAATATTTTCCTTCTTTTTTGGGGGGGTGGGGCGAGGCAGAATCTCTGTTGCCGGGGCTAGAGTGAGTGTCGTGGCGTCAGCCTAGCTCACAGCAACCTCAAACTCCTGGGCTTAGTGATCCTCCTGCCTCAGCCTCCCAAGTAGCTGGGACTACAGGCATGCGCCACCATGCCTGGCTCTTCTTTTTTTTTTAATTGAAAAAAGGGTGAAATGCACATATCTTAAGTGTATCATTCAATTAATTTTGATACATGTTACATGGTTTTTTGATACATGATTACAGCCATGTAATTACCTCCCAGTGAAGACATGGACTTTGCATCTTCTGCAGTCTCTTTGTCTTCCCCTTCCACGACACCCTCCGCAGGTAAACTCTGTCTGGGCTCTCACCATAGGTGGCTTTGCCTGTTCTTAGAGTACATGCTCTTTGTTGTGTCTGGCTTCTTCTGCTCAACATAGTGTTTTTAAGATCTATCTATGTTGTATGTCTCAGTGGTTTGTTTCTTCTGCTGCTGAGTAGCATTCCAGGGTATGGACATACCACGGTATGCTTCTATAATCGCCTATTGATGGATATTTGGGTTGTTTCTAGTTTGGGGCTAGACTGAAGAAAGCTGCCATAAACATACTGGAACAAGTCTTCCTGTGCACATGTGTTTTCATTTCTCTTGGTAAATACATTGCTGGGTCATATGGTAAATATATATGTACCTTCATTTAAAAACTGCCAAAAAATTTCCCAAAGTTTTTACCATTTTATCTTCCCACTAGCCATATCTGAGACTTCTAATTTCTCCACATCCTCCTCAGCATTTGGTGTTATTAGTCTTTTAAATTTTAGCCATTGTAAGTATGAAAAGCTATGTAAAGGGTAAAGCCATTGTAAAGGGTATGTAAAGCTTGTTGTAGCTTTAATTTGTATTTCCCTGATGACTAATCATGTTGAGCATCTTTGCATATATTCTTTTATGAAGTGTCTGCTCAAGTACTTTGAACGTTTTTTACTGGGTTGCTAGTCTTTTTGTAGGAGTTCTTTATGTATTTTGGATACAATCTGTCTTTACTTTTTCATTTTCTCTCTTTCTTTTTTCTTTTTTTGAGACAGGGTCTCACTCTGTTACCCAGGGCCAGAGTACATTGGCATCATCACAGCTCACTTCAACCTCCAACTCCGGGGCTCAAGGGATCCTCCTGCCTCAGCCTCCCAAGTAGCTGGGACTACAGGGGTATGCCACCATGTCTGGCTAATTTTTTTGGTTTTTGTAGAGATGAGGTCTTTCTCTTGCTCAGGCTGGTCTCAACCTCCTGGCTTCAAGCGATCTTCCTGCCTTGGCCTCCCAGAGTGCTAGGGTTACAAGTGTGAGCCACGCACCCAGCCACTTTTTAATTTTCTTACTGGTGCCTTTGATGAGCAGATGTTTTGCTCTTGATGCAGTCCAGTTTATCAAATTTTATTTTATATTTAGTGCTTTTTATGTTTTTGTCTAAGAAATCTTTGCATACCCTCAGGTGGAAAAGATTTTCCCTATGTTATCTTGTGAAAGCTTTATGTTTTTGGCTTTTACATTAAGTGTTTTGATGCATAAAACAACTCAAAAAATTAATTTTTCTGTGTGGTGTGAGATATGGCTCAATGTTTTTTCTTACCGATTTATTCAGTTGTCCTAGCACCATTTGTCAAAAGGAATTTCCTTTCTACACTGATTTGCATAGTGTCTTTGTTAAAAATCAATTGACAATATATGTGTGGGTTATTTCTGGATTCTCTATTCAGTCTCATTGATCCATTTGTCTATTCTTTTGTCAATACCATTCTGCTTGGTTATTGTAGCTTTATAGTAAGTTTTGAAATCAGGTACCATCAATTGCCCAAATTTGTTCTTATATTTTGAGATAGTTTTGCTATTTTAGGTCCTTTGCATTTTCATATAAATTTTAGAATTGTGTTGTCTGTTTCTAGACGTCTGTTCAAATTTTTATTGGGATTGTGTTGAGTCTATAGATCAATTTGGCGAGAATGGACATCTTAGCAATATTGATCTTACGACCCCTATAGATGGTTATATCTTTATATTTATTTAATTTTGATATTATCTCAGCAATGTCTTGTAGTTTTTAGTGTAGAGGTCATATATACCCTTGTTAAACTTACTCCTAAGTATTTTTTGTTATTTGTTGCTATTGTAATTAGAACTTTAAAATAATTTTAGTTTCTAATTGTTTCCTGCTATATATAAAATTAAAATTGATTTTTATAATATTTGATCTTGTGTTCTGTGAACTTGCTAAACTTAACTATTAGTTATAATGGTTGTTTTGTAGATTCTTGGGATTTTCTTGTAAACAATAATCTTGTCCATGAATGAAGACAGGTTTACTTCTTCCTTTCTTATCTTTGTGCCTTTTATGTTGCTTTCTTTTTTTATGGCACTGGCTAAGCACTTCAGTGCAATGCTTACAGACATCCTTGCCTTATTTTCAATTTTAGGGAGAAAGTGCTAAATATTTTACCATTAAAAGTTTTCATAGATACTTTTTATCAGATTGAAGAAGTTTTCTTCTATTCCTGTTTACATTTGTTAAATGCTCTTTTAACATCATTTGAGATGATCATATGTCCTTTCTTCTTTATTCTGTTAATGTAGTCAATTACATTGATTGGTTGAATTTTTATAATGTCAAATTTACTATATTCTTGGGTTAGCCCCACTTTGTGCTATTGTTGTCATATATTTTACACTCACATACATTATAAACTCTATAATGCCCAGGTGTCAAAACTTTTGCTTTAAACAGTCAGTTGTCTTTTTGAGAAATTAAGAGGATAAATAAAAGTTTTACATTAACGCACATTATTTACCATTTTCAGTGTGGTTCATTCTCTCCCATAGTTCTCAGTTTCCATCTGGTATCATTTTTCTTCAGCTCAAATAATTTTTTAAGTATTTCTTGTAGCACAGATGTGTTAATGATGAAATTTCTGTTTTCTTTTATCTAAAAATGGTTTTATTTCACTTTATTTTTTGAAGGATATTTTCTGTATGTATAGAAATTTGGATTGATAATTTTTTTTCCTTTTAGCCCTTTAAGCACATTATTTCATTGTTATGTCAGCCATCATTCTAATTGTTTCCCTCTATA